AATTTAAAAATAAATCTTACACAAGAATTCATTTTTCTTTGAAATCTAAGCAGCAGCTTTTTCGACATGTTAGTAAACGCAGCACAACAATAATCAAAGATCGGGAATATAAGTGTAGTCACTAATTTTACTCGCAATTGTTCATTAAATATTTCATTGTTAATTTTAAGTTGAGCTAACGTTTTCATAGCTTGATTACAAGTCTTTAATACTTGGTGTTCCCAAGAAAGATTATTATCTAAAATGACCCCTAGATACTTAACAGTATTAACATAAGGAATAACGCTATTATCAACCAATATATTCTCTGCATTTATACAAGAATCACTGCTAACTTTTAGTCTACTGCCAAAGATGATTGCTTTGGTTTTTGAAGCATTTAACTTCAAGCAATTCAAATCACACCATTTAACAATTTTTCTATTTCACTGTTCAATAAAGCAATGTTCTCACTGATCTGTACTAAATGACAAGATAGATATATCACAAGATCATCAGCATAAAAGAGGTATTGACAGTTTAAAATTTTTGATAGATCAGAGATACATAAGACAAATAACAACAGGCCAAGAACACTACCTTGAGGAACACCATTTAACACATTTCTCCATGACGAAATATCATTATTGTTCCGAACTGATTGCACTCGCTGAGACAAATAAGACCGAATCCATTCAATAGCATTATCACAGAAGTTCATAGATAATAGTTTTTGTAGTAATCTTTGATGGTTAACTGAATCAAATGCTTTACTGAAATCAAAGAATACAGCTATGGTCACCTTTGACTCATCAATTCCTAGACGAATGTCATCACAAAGTTTAATCACAGCAGTCTGAGTATTTAGACCTTCCTTAAAAGCCATTTGACGCTCATCAGCATAGTTGTTAGCACTAATATACTTAACTATTTGGTCATGTACACATCTCTCCAACGCCTTCGATAAACTTGATAGCAGAGAAATTGGTCGAAAATCTTCACAGTTGGCTGCATGAGCCTTCTTTGGGACAGGTATTACATGCGATAGCTTCCATTTGGCAGGAAACACTCCTGTCGACAACGATTTATTAAATAATAATAATTAGGGATGATAATAATTAGTTGACTTTGTAAATATTTAAAACAAATTATTTTACATATAGTTAATCCGTAAGATTATTATAAATTATTATTATTATTATTATTATTATTATTATAATTATATGAATATACTGTTGTCGTTTGTTTACTGTACAGATATTTATCAATATTGGGGACCTGCTACTGTTGCTACATGTCCAGACAATTTTAATCAGTACCGTCCACCTCGCGATTAGCAGCCTTTTCAAGATTCAACGTTCAAGCACAAATAAAACGGTCCTATTATTAATACCTCATCACTTTTATCTATACACACACTATTCCATCGACACATTCATTGATTAGTTCAATTCCATCATTATTATTTTTAGAAAAAGACTTATCATTTTCGTAATCCGGTAGTTTCAAAGTCAAAAGCTTTTTAATTGAATAAAAAATAATATTTTTCATTAAACTAATAAATAAGTTTTCGTAAATAAATTGTATGTTCTAGATCTATATAGATAAATACATGTTGAGATTTTTAAAATAGAATATTTATATTCAATAACGTTAAAAAAAATATATTTATGTACATTTTTTTTTTCATTGTTATTTTTGGAAATGAAAAGAATAAAATAGCACGGCCTATAAAAAAAAAAATATTTCACCAATAAATTTTGGTATACATACATCGAGCATTTTTTATTTTATTTTTTTTTTACTTTTATTCTACCAAACAAGTATTAAATAATTGGTGCATGAAGAAACGCCTTGAAAGTAACGGATACACCAGTATACTTTTTATATTTTTTTTTTTTTTTTACTATTTTTCACACTTAAAAGTATTAATCAAGCTTGCAAAAATTGAATAAAATTAATTGAATTTTTTAAGTTATCATTTCAACACAATGGCAATTAGAAAAAAACTCGTGTCTTGAATAAAAAAAAAAGTACACCAGTGATCGCGGGCAAATTGTCCATTAATTCTAATAAATGTAATAGTAATAATTGTAAACAGATTAGAATAAGAAATTATTTAATACTATAAAGATATCAATGGTTAATTAAAAAAAAGAGTATATATCCAAGTTGTAATTAATATTGAATGTATATAAACAGTTGTAAAATAATGGCATAAAATAATTTTAAAATTATTATAATAATAAGAAAAATAAATAACTAAAATAAAAAAATAAAGAATATTTAAAACATTGATACAAGATTTGTTTTTTTGATTTTTTTTTATGTAATATAATAAACCTATAATTTCGAAAAATACATTGTTTAATAATAAATAATAATAATAGTAATAATAATAATAATCATAATTATATTTGCCAGTTCCGAAAATAGGTCAAGGTCTTGATTAAGAATCTTCCACGCGGGCGAGGCAAAGCAGCCATTTAATATTTTACTATAAATGTTTTTTATTTTATTATTTATTTTCAAATAGAAAAAACAATGACAGTGCAATTGTAAAAGCCTTTTAGTTTTTTTATTTTTAGATTAAAGTAGAGATTAAAATCACGTTTCACTATATTTTTTTTTCTTCATTCATATAAATTCACAAACTCGTACGTGAGAGTATTACAACAATAATTTTAACGCAGTAATGAAATAGATCATCTATAATAACTTATACTTGGACATTTAAAAAAAAAAAAAAATTAAGCAGTCATTATTTTTAAAAATATTAATAAAATTTTTGTTTTCTTCTTTAAAATATAGTTTTGTTAGCAATTGTGTCGCGATTTTTATAGAGCGGCTAATATAATGAACAAGAGGTATCATATCACAATTTCGGAACAAAAATACACAGTTCACGGCTTTATTTGTTATTAATTGTTATTGATCTCTTTATTAGTCATCTCTCAATACGTTTATACTTCGTATTGCTTGTCATCTATCAAATATTTATCACTATCGATTATTATTTATATTTATTTATTTATTATTATATACTTTATTTTATTTTATTTTTGCTCATTAATAATATATAAAACGTCTTTGATTAAGAAGCGCAAGAGACAGGCAAAGTCATGCAAATCATGACTACATAGTGCAAAATATCGGTCATCAAAGTCCATTTTTTTATTTACTTATTTATACGCGTAATATTGACTTTTAATAACTAAAAGTTTACGCAATAAAAAATATGCGCTGACAAACAACTAGAAAATATATTTAATAAAAAATATAATTATTTTAATTAAAAATTATTAAAAAAAAAAAAAAACTTAAATAAAATGAAATGAAATAAATAAAACATTTATGAAGAAAAGTAATCAAGCAAACGGAAGAAAATTATTGGAAGTTACGATAATACGCACGATTAACACAAGGACGCATTAATTTTTCGGAATACATAAATATAATATAGCCGCTATTACAATTTGTTATGTTAGCATCGTATTACAATAATATTATAATTATATAATGATAACATAATAATTAATTAATAATAATAATAATACATTTAGCCTACATGGTATCTTAAATCGAAACGACCGATAGTCTATTCACGTTCATTTGACAAAAAGCTTATCTTTTTATTTCAGTTTATTTTTTTTTCTCAAAGATCTCTTGATTGATAATACGAAAAAAAAAATATAATAAATTGTAAAAATTGTTTTTATTTATTATTATTTTTAAAGTTCAGTATTAGAAAATGTGGCATGCAAAAATCCACGAGTTTCGTACTTGAAAGTTTTTAGCATTGCCCTATTTAAATATTATAAAAAGATTTGTTATATGTAATATTAAAAAGCTACTGATAAATTTCATTTTTCTTTTTTTTCTTTTATCTCCAACGTTATTATTGATTAATTTTATGAATCACCAATAGTATTTACTTAATTATAAATTTCTTGATATTTTATCATGATGAAAAATAGCTCGGTAACGTTGTATAAAAAAAAAAAAATAAAAAAATAGTTGAGATATACGAAAGAAAAAAGAAATTAATAAAAATATTAAGAGTCACACAGAAACTATAATAACATACAATTCACAATATTAATGACAACAATGTTACTCTAATAATCTTTTAATATTGGTACATAATAATAATATACTTTTATTAAGGTTTAATTCATTTTGTTGTAACATTTTTTTTTTCGTGAAGCTAAAAAAAAAAAATGTTAAAACATGAAGCACAAATCGCCACCGTTCAAAAAAAGAATTACAATTAATTAATTAATATAATAATATAATAGTCTTTTGTTATTTTATTTGTTAATAGTTTTTGTTGGTTTTTCAATAATATTAATTAATAATCATCAAATATGCAAAATGCACACGATTATACGTAAGATATATGCGCACTCACGCTACAGGGCAGAGACAGGCATACACGTGAAATCACGTAGTATAGATAATACATACATACATACATGGCATTATTACACACGTGGATTAGACGAGGACATGCGCGCTAGTGTACGAAAAAATCGCGGACCATCGTCGACTGGTGCATTTGTATGAAATGATCAGTTTTTTTGTTTTTTTTTAATTTTTTTAATTAATTAATTATATATATATGTATATATATATATATATATATATATATATATATATACATATTTGTTTGTAACTGTTTGTGTTTAATAAGTATAGTTATCGGATTAGCTTTCGTATTATCCGGTTGGACGTTGCGTTTACATGTTTCTATTGTTGATCTTATTTAATTCATCATTTTTTTCATTTCAATATTTTTTATTTTATTATGTAAAGTAATTAAAAGATAAGATATCAGTATGTTATAGTTTATATGCAGGGGCCTCCAGCATTAAGACTAGCCTCGGTTCAGCTAGCATCCGCAATTCCTTGTTTTGTTATTTAGATTTTATAATTTTTTTGCTTGTTTATTTTTATTTTTTTTTATTTTCTGTTTTTGTTTTAATTCACCCGGCGGGATCGGGTCCATTTTGCATCACACTTCAAAGTAACCTGCATTTACCCTTTTTCTTCTTCTTGACCTATAGATAAATAATAATATGTTTGTATCAATATAGTGCCATATATAATGTCAGATAAATTGCTAGTTAAATTTAATAAAACAAAAATTTACCTGTAATGCAGCTCTTGTTGCTGTTTCAAACACCTCTCGAACACCCTCCTTACTCTTAGCAGAACACTCGAGGTAAGCAAAAGCATTTATTTTTTCCGCCATAGTTCGTCCTTCTTCAGGTTTAACCGGCTCTTGTTTCATCTTTCCCAGCTCTTTAATCGTACCTGGGTCATTACGCAAATCCTTTTTGTTACCGACAAGAATTATCGGAACATTTGGACAAAAGTGTTTCACCTCAGGCGTCCACTTTTCAGGAATGTTCTCTAGTGAATCCGGACTGTCGATAGAGAAACACATTAATATTACGTCTGTATCTGGATACGACAGTGGACGTAGCCTGTCATAATCTTCTTGTCCTGCTGTATCCCATAATGCCAATTCCACCTATCATACAATAATACAATCATCAATTAGTTATTAAATAATAATATTAAATATATTAAGGTAAAAGACCCAATTATCGACACTCACATTTAAAAAAAATTAAATCAATTCTAATAAATTAATAAATTAAATTTTTTAATTATAAATTTTAAGATAATTGATTTTTTTAATTAAAATAAAATTAAAAGTGTCAATAACTGGATCTTTTACCTTATTAATAAATAATAATAAATAAAATTTTTATTACTTGTTTTCCGTCAACTTCAATATCTGCCACATAATTTTCAAAAACAGTGGGGACGTATACTTCAGGAAATTGATCTTTACTGAAGACTATCAGCAGACAAGTTTTACCGCAGGCACCATCGCCTACAATTACTAATTTCTTCCTAATGGCCGCCATGAAACCTGATAAAAACAAAATAAATAAATAAATTATTCATTATAAATATAAGATAAAATTATTAATCACAGCATTTTAAAATTTAATTAAAAGCTATGATTCATTCAAACACATCAAACTTTCATATTACATTTTACAAAAACGTTTAAATATATTTTATAAATTTATGTACACTTTTTTAATTTAATAGTTTTAAAACCGCCGTCGATTTCCGTGATTATATCATTACATGCTAGTGATCGTTTTTGGAGCACCCCCAGCTACTTCCTATAGTTATTATTATTATTATTATTATTATTATTAAATAATAAATATAAAATATTTACATTCCGTAGTATAAACAATTAAACAAATGTCCTTGAATTATTAAACCGCTAAAAATAAACATATCTTTTATAGTTTTAATTTATTTAGTCAATTAATTAATTAATAAGTAAATAAATTTATGATGATATTTATACTACGCAAAGCTCAATAGCAAAAAGTACCTAGTGCCCATACAGACTTCACTTAATAGAAATAATAATAGTAAACCTACAGTGTATGTATCGATTAAATAGGTAGAGTAAGTGAACAGAGTAAAAGCAAGCCCAACAATAACAAAATCAATCATTCAATTATACGTATACTCTCTATTCTCTCGTGTTGTCATATTAAAATATTATTACGGAAATCTATTTATGTAAATATCTATCAATATAATTTAACTAATTAACTTTTACTCGGATTCTAATTAAACATGCTATTGAAATACAATTAAGTTACAAACAAACTATTAACTAATTTATATTAATTATCACACAGGATTTTTTGGTCATAGAGGCTCTAATATAAACTAGAGAAGAAAATGAATCCTGTGTCTCAGAAAACCAAGTGCGATCTAGCGATACGTGAATGTTTTTTACCAAAAAATAATTTTTAAAAAATAAAAACAAAATACAATTAGCAATATAAATGGTGACTGGTAGACTATTGTATCGTTATGTACAACCTACGGGGTTGAAGAAATTTTTTTGAGAAAAGATTAGTTTACTGGGTCGTACCTGATCCAGGGTACCCCGTATCGTCTGGACCGAGGCTTCGGCCCACAATGCATCCCATCACTCTTTTTAGTCTTTCGTATGTGATTTATTCAGCGTCTCTGTTTTAATTTGACATTTATTGGATGTTAGAACGGGTAGAGATAGAGCAGAGCTGCGAGATGAAGTTCTGATACCACAAGATAATTAATTTATAATGCGGGTAACACAATTAAATAATAACACTAGTGTGTTAATGTTATGTTGTGTAGAGTATAATAAATAAATTTAACAAACTATTTTAATAAATAACATACCAGTGCAACACTGTGTTAATAATAATAATAATAATAATAGAAATAATAATAAGTAAATATTCTAATTAAACCAACAACTTAATATAAACAAGTCAAAACCTTATCTTTACGTATACATTAAGATATATATTGTATGTGTGTGTATATGTATTGTAAATATAACACGGGGGCTTTTATCATTAAAGATTAATCTCAACTGATAACCATTATATCAAGCGCAAGATTAATCTTTGATTATTAAGTTAAGAGTCCACAGGTTGTTTTTTTATTTTTTAATTAAAATTTTAAGACTTAATACTTAATAAACTATTAAAGTCAAGTACTTATTTGAGGAGTTACTAATTATCTTTTCAATAATAACAAGTACTTGGTTTTTTTTTTAGGTTACAATTAAGTCATCAGTATTTTTAAAAAACAAATACCAACTTGTAGACTCAATGACAACTCATGCCTCAAATCCATGCATTCTGTTAACAAAAAAAAAAATGAGCGGTGTTTTAATTATTTAAATAATTGGTATTGGTAATAATAATGATAAATATTGTAATTGTAATTAACTGACAAGAGATTTCGTAATAATTAAATAAAGACTTCATGCAAGAGTGAAATAAGTTGACGTGCCGGATTTGTTTCAATTTCACCATTTGACAGTACATACAACATTTGACGTAGCAAGTACATACATACATACATTCATACATCCGAGATTCTTTCTCTCTCATGTTACTATTTCCGTCGAATGATTCAATTCAATATAAGTAGGAAAAAATAATATAAAGAATGATAATCGAGAAGAGAAGCTTATGAATGATTCGATATCACTCTTTAGCCAGCAGCGGGATATATGGACGAAGTAAAGACTAAAATTTTTTACTTACGTCAGTATTCCACGAAGCTTTCTTTTATTTCTTTTTTTTTTTTTTTCGCTACAAACGATTGACTGGGTTGCGGATGTGAGGAAAAGAGAAAGACGGTAATGTGTAAGAGAATACCAGAGTGAAAGAGAAATAAGAATAAATGAGTAAGAGAAGTTTAAAACCTGTCTCCTTTTAATAAATATTTTATTTTATTAATTAATTAATAATTAATTGTTATTAATGTATTTATATAAAAAATATTTAAATACATTTTTTTTAATTAATTAATTAATTAGTAAAATAAAATAATAAATTAAACTATCACAACCGGAAGTGCATTAACAATTAGCAAAATAAATGTACATATATGATTAGAAAAAGATGGATGATTAAATGAGGAGATTGGAGTTGGATGGCGACGCAGAGATCTTAAGCCTCGGTGACGATTTACCTACTCGACTATGTATGATTTGTAAAAATTATTTTTTGTGTTTGCTGGTCTAAAAAGCTTGAGGGCACTCCAATCAATCTATGGTTATAAAGCGTTTAAATAATAATAATAATAATAATAATATTTATGATAGCGATAATAATAATATGGCTTGTACTACTAATAATAATAACAACAACACACACGCAATTAAATATTTGTTGATGATATTATTGTTAATTTAATAAATTAGCTGACGCTTGCTGATTGAGTCTTGTGAAATAATGTTTCTGAATAACTGCTGCATACGCATGGCACTCCCCCAGCTCTTAGCATTCGTATGAACAAAAAAATTTTTTGGTTCTATACCTCTAGTATAATCAGAATTTAAATTGTAAAAAATGATAGTTACTTGTACAAAAGCTTTTTGACTTTACCGGTATATGTAATTATTAATGCACGTAATACCGGTTAAATAATAATACACACAACACAACACAACCGTGCAATACTTCAGTCAACGTTTTTTTAACAATTAATTGCGTATTTACCTGATATCTTATGCGACAGATAGTCAAGAAAATGGCTGCCTTCTCTGGCCACACCTCAATCTGTTGAGTTAGCCGCTAATACTGAAAAAGTGGGGGGCGCTCTAAACTCAATACCGGATGCGTCCATTTTGAAGCGTTTACTTTTTTTTTTTTATCATTTGGTATTTTATTTGAAATGTCGAATGACAGCTTTTCGGAATTGGCTTTAAAATTTACATTCAAGTGAAACAAAATTTGAAACTGGTTCTTAGTGATCTAGAAATATTTTTTAATTGTTATTAAATTGGAATAACAATTGTTTTACCGTGAAATGTTGATTAGATTGTTATTAACAGTTTGGAGTTTTGTGACAGCGACATCTTTAGACAGCGCGGGGATTTAAATATGAAAATAACTAGTGCGCAAGTGTGGAAGTTGGCAGGAATTTCAAAAAGTTAAAATTGAAGGTTACATTACGTATTGATTTCTATATATTTGTTAACAATATCGATACATGATGAAATTTATTTTTAATATTCCAAATATGTATATTATAAATTGTCAAAAAAAAAAAATTATAAATTGGCAATTAGAAAAGAAAACAATAGGTAGTTAAAATTCAGGTAGACTACTATAAAAAGATTAAAAAAAATTTTTTTAAAGTAGTAAATGTTGATCACGGATTAATTAATATCGTGTAAATTATATCAATCGATATCTAGATTTTATTTAATTTTGTTGTGGAGGATCAGGATCATTTGGGTTACCGCCCATCTGTCTTCTCAATAAGTCAATTAATTCTGGATTGGCACTTTGCATTTGTTGTGCTAATTGTTGTCCTCTGCAAAAAGAGAAAAAAAATAAAAATTAATGATTTTTTTTAATTTAATTAAGGTAAAAGACCCAATTATTGACACTTGCAATTTTATTCTAATTAAAAAAATTAAATGTTCTTAAAAAACTAATTATAAAATTTATATATTAATTTATTAGAGTTAATTTGTTTTTTTTTTATTTTAAATAAAATTGCAAGTTTCAATAACTGGGTCTTTTACCTTACAGGACAGCAGATCTTTAAAAAATTATATAAAGCGATAAATATATTTTTCAATGATCTGTAAATAGTCCTGAAGTCAAAAATAACTAAAATAATTACGCTTGAATAAGAGCTTCCATACGATCGTTAGATTCAACATTGCCGCTCATAAATTCAGTCATAACATTCTGCATACCCGGATCTGCAAGCATTTGTCTAGCCATGTTCATCAGTACTGGGTGTGAGAGCAGGCTACTCATGTCTGGGAACCCTGGAACATTACCAGCACCGCCTAAACCAATATTACTGACGCCTTGTTGTGCTAATTTTTCTTCTGTCAAGTGCAAATTATTTTTATAACTTTCATTGGTCGGTTCGATCTCCAATGCTTTTTCGTAACACTCTTTAGCTTCTTTGTGTTCGTTTAAACTCGAATAAGCAAGTCCCATTCTTCCGTAAGCTTTACTGTACTTGTTATCAATTACAAGTGCTGTCTTACAGTCTTTTATTGCTTCACGATGATTATTTATTTTACTATAAGCTGCTGCGCGGTTACAATAATACACAGCGTTATGTCCGTCTAATTTTATAGCTCTGGAAAATATTTAAATATATTAATACAAATAAATTTATCAATTATTAAATACGAATCAATTGTTCAATGTGAAAACTGATAATATATATTTTTAAACTTACTTGGAGTAATACTCGATAGCTTCTTCAACATTTCCTTTGCCCATTAAATTATTACCCTCATTTTTATATTTTTCTGCTTCAGCTTTTTCCTCATCTGTTGCTTCGCTGGGTGGCAATGTTATTAAATTTTCTACAGCTGTTTTGTAAGTATTAAGTAAATCAAAATTAGCTGGAGAATCAGTAGCTTGCACGCTGTATGCACTCTCTAGACATTGAATCGCTACTTCAAGACTTTCACGTGAATCTGCTGTGATGTCACCATCTTCCAATTGTTTCATTAAAAATTTTATTATGCTAGCAACTAGTCCTTTTTCTGCCATGATCTGTAAAAATATTTATAAAATAACATCAATAATTATCACTGAGACAGTAACAAATAAAATTGTTGTCATATTGTAACAACAATCACGCTTAATCATTGTATTTAAGTATGATTTTCATTCGTTTACATAACCTTATTTAATTTACAATTAAGTATTTTCTGATATATGTTTTTATTAATGCAACTCATGCATTACTAGTACTTTTAAGTTAATTTATTTACCCCGAGTAATTCGTGATAATTAAAAAAAATATTAAAATTAAATCAACAAAATAACTTACGTGGTATTATGTACAATTAACAATTCGTTGTGTCGATACTTTAAGAAATTTTGTTGGAATTGTTTAGTGATTCTTGAACTATCACTTGGACATCAATTTTTTATTTATTTATCACCAGTTGATTTAACCAGGTATGTGTACATAGAAAATTTCTCAATTATTTATAATTTAATTGTTCTACCGGTGTGTGAGTAACCAGAGCTTTCCACGTCTCTTTCGTTAAATGGTGTTTTTTTTTTTGAGAAGTGTAGTAATAAGTGTGGAGTAAAGATTTTATCGATTGAGTAAAATTTTGAAGCGCGGCTAGTTCATTCTTTTCTACATACATTTTCAAGTTATGAAAATTGAATTAATCGATATCGGAAAATCTTTATAATTTTTTTATTAAAAAAATTTATAAATAATTTGTAATAGTCTATTATAAATAATAAATTTGAAAATGTCACTGAAGTATGAAAATTAAATCAGCCAACATTTGAAAATTTTTATAATTTATTTTATTGAAAAATAATTTTTAAAAAATTAAAACAAAAATTTTCACATGTAGAAAATTTTAAAAATTATATGTGAAATTTTTAAAAATAGTTTTTTAGTTCTAAATTTTAATTAATAAAAAAAAAATCAAAAATGGTTGAGTGTCGGTTAACTTAATTTTCATACTGAAGTTGCCAGACATTAGAAAATTTTTATAGCAATGAAATTATTATGAAAAAAATTTAATAAAAAAATTCCAGGTATGAAAATTAAAAAAAATTGTTAATGAAAATTTTTATTATTGTAAACGATACTGAAATCAGCAGACATCTGACAGATTTTTTTAATTTTTATGATAAAGCAATTATAAAAAAAATATATTTTTTACAAATTTGCACTTAATTTTTCAAATTTTCTGCATGTCAAATTTTTTCTTTTAATTTTTTTTTAAATAATTTTTTTTACTTTTCTAAGTGTTAAAAATAATAATAATATTTCAGATAATAATAAAAAAAAGTATTCTTAAAAAGAAGCATAATGATTCAAAAATTTTAATCATTCATCCATGCAAAATTTCAATAAATTTTAATAATTTTTAATTAAATTTTTATAATTGAATATAATTAAAATCGTCAACTATTTTATAACGATCTTCCCGATAATGAACAAGATCATCAAGGAAGCGCATACTGCTCTCATTATGCAGTTTTGTCAGTACTGGAGGTAAAGGAGTTATTCCAGCAGTTTTTGCTAGATCATCATAGTAATCCCCTTGCTCTGGACCCATCATATGAAAGTGACGTTTCTCCAGACCTTTGTCTAGTTTTTTCTTCAACTCGGCAGCTTCTTCAGCTAACATTGCTTCTTTACTCGGCAGCTGTTTTTCGTTCATCCAAAACTTCAAGGCAAATCGAACCTAAGGTAAAGAATGTTTTTAATTTTACAAATTATGAATTTATAAGTCATTAAAGATAATTTTTAAATAGATGTACCTGAATATCAAACATACTGAAAGCACAGACATAAAATGGTAAACCTACAAGAGCCAACGTTGAATTTTCAACAGATAACAAATGCTTCCATAATGGTGTTACCATATTTGAATCAACTCTAACTCCACAACTTTTCGCCAGAAAAGGAAAACTGTACTTGTATCCTTTTAAAATAATCCAATTAATTAAATAAGAATTAAAAAAATTTTTTTTTATTTACCTGTACAGTAGAATATGACATCAACATTCTGATGTTCTCCATTAGAAAATGTAAGTCCTGTCTCATCAATTTTTTTTATATCTGGTTTCTATAAAATTTTTAAAAATTATTTTTTCAAATAGTTTTCGAACTAAGAAATTTTTACAATTTTTATCAAAAAAATTTCATTTGTAAAAAATTTGAAAAACTATTTGTGCAATTTTTAAAAAATATTTTTTTGTTCTAATTAAATGATTTTAAAAAAAATCAAAAAATTCAAAACGTTAATTTTAGTATTATCTATTTTCTTCTTTTTCTAACAATTACCTGAATAACATTTTCAGGAAAGACAGTGTGAATAGGATCGCGATTGTGATGACTCAGAATGACTTGTTTAGCCTTGCTCGATATCTCCAAAGCAAGATCCATCCCCGAAGGCCCAGCTCCAACTACGACTACTGTTTTGTTAGCAAAAGTTTCAGGTACACGGTAATCATGACTGTGTAATTGTTGACCTTGGAACTTATCGTGTCCTTCAATAATTGGTAAGCTTGGTTCAAAGTAATGACCATTGCAGACCATAACTGCGTCGAAAATTTCTTTGGCTACCACGCCAGTTTCCAAATTTTTTACTGTTACTGTCCATTTAGTAGATGAACCCGGTACCTGATTCTCTTCGAGTTTTCCAGAAGGTTCAATACACTCAACATGGTGACGAAACTGTAACAACCCGTTAAAATTATTATTCCTGACGATAAGTATTAAATATTAAAACAGTCACAATAACTTATTTTCCGAGAATATAAATACTTTTATAAATTATTAATTAATTCTGAAATAGTCTGAAAAATTATTATTCTTCATTCCACTACATATGTAGAAAATCTCTAAGAAATTCTGAAAAAGTCTTCCAGAAGAATCCAAAAACATTTAAAAATGCAGTCTTTAAAATCCCATAAAAATCTTAAATATGTCTTCTTATACTTTTTCAGAATTTTTCAGACTCATTCAGACTTATTTATTCTTCTAGAATTTTTTTTCAGAAAGCTGCAAGAATTTATCAGACTCCTAGCAGAAAATATTTCCACCAGATAAATTTATTATTTTTATCATTCAGAAATAATTTATGAAAACTTACTTTGATGTAAGACCGTAATTTGAAGTGATCACAGTAACTATTAAGAAAATCTAAAATTTCAGTTCGAGTGACATAACTCTTATCGTTTTCTGGTATTGGAAAATCTGGATAGCCCATTACTTCTTTTGGTAAATTAGTCCTGCAATAACACGAATTAATAAAAATTTATTCAATTTAATTTTTAGAATTTTTTGCTTCAAAAAGATGAAAATTCAATCTTACCGCAGACTTTTATACATACTGGAATGAATAGGCAGTCCATAATGATCAACGCCGATTTCCGGAGTATAAACCCAGGTACCTCCAACTAGATTAGTCTTCTCGTAACAAATAACTTCAGTGACTTTACCTTGATTTTTAGGGTCTTCAGTGGCAAGAAGAAGAACGACGTGACGGAGAGCTGCTAATCCAGCGCTTCCTGCTCCAACTATTGCTATACGCATTTTAATGATATTTTACAAATATTCTAACGTTAAAAAAATCGAACACAGTTATGATCCAATTCAATCGCACGCACAACTGAGAATAAAGTTAAGAGTGTGAAGTAGGAGAAAATGAACGTATCGCTTGAGACCACTGACTACTTCTTTTCACTTGTGTCGCAATTACTTGCTCAGTTGCAGGGTTCATATCATGTTAGATAGCTCTGCAGCTTGTTACTTAATTCTGGCAGTATCTTAATGTTGTAGTATCGGTTGACTCATTTTTTTTTTTTTTTTTTTTTTTAACAGAATGAGAAAATAGTGTTATAACTGGTCCAATAAATTCAGAGTCAAAGCTATAAGAGAATGTAATAAAACTAAAATGACTTTCTTATTTATTTCTTTTGATTAGCTATTAGATTTAATATTTAAAAGTAAATAAACAAACTTTAGAAAGTTAGTTTTTTTTATAAAAATATTTTATTGATTATGTTTGCTAATAATATCGTTGTCATTTTGTAATTACATGAATAGTTTTCAGAAAATCTTAATAGTATCCTATGTCTTCTTGTAATTATTGATATCTTCATAATAAAAAAATCATTTTAATTTTTATTTTATCATTTTTTTATTTAGTGAATTTTGGCTAAAATTTTTGTATTAATTAATTAATTTAAATACCAAATTTTAAATTATTGTTCTTGATTTTTTAAATTATAATTTTTATAAAAAAATCAAAATTAATTAGTCACAATTTCGAAGAATTTGAAGAAATTCATATTTAAAAAATTTCAAAGTTGGATGTAATTATAATCGTCAATTATTTTATACCGTTCTTCTCGATAATGAATGAGATCATCAAGAAAATGCAAACTTCTGTGGTTGTGAAGTTTCGTCAACACTGGAGGTAGTGGAGTTATTCCAGCAGTGTTAGAGAGATCATCATAATAGTTACCCTGCTCTGCACCCATCATATGAAAATGACGTTTTTCTAAGCCTTTGTCCAACTTTTTCTTCAACTCAGTAGCTTCTTCTGCCAACATTTCTTCTTTGCTTGGAAAATGTTTTTCACTTGTCCAAAATTTTAGCAAAAATCGAACCTATGCAACAATTAAAGATTTTGTTTTTATGACTAAAAATAGTTCAAATTATTAAATAAAACAAGAATTTTAAAAATAATATACCTGTAAATCAAACATGTTGAAAGCGCAGATATAATATGGAATCCCTATGAAAGCTAATGTAGGATTATTAATAGATACCAAGTGTTTCCACAGTGGTGTTACCATATTTGACTCAACTTTTATTCCACAACTTTTTGCCAAAAATGGAAAACTGTACCTATAACCTTTTTGGAATAAACTAGTCAATTAATTAAATACATTTTATTTTAATAATTTATCTTACCGGTACAGTAGAAGATAACATCAACCTTCTGAAAATCACCATTTGAAAATACAACTCCTGTTTCTTCAATTCTTGCAATGTCCGGTTTCTAAAAAATATTTTCAAAATTATTTTTCAAGTCTTGTAAATTATCAATTAATTTCAGTAAATAATTACCTGAATAACATTTTCAGGAAAAACAGTACGAATTGGTTTCCGACTATGATGGCTAAAAATCACTTGTTTAGCCTGACTCGATATCTCCAAAGCAAGATCCATCCCCGAAGGCCCAGCTCCAACTACGACTACTGTTTTGTTAGCAAAAGTTTCAGGTTCACGGTAATCATGACTGTGTAATTGTTGACCTTGGAACTTGTTGTGTCCTTCAATAACTGGTAAGCTTGGTTCAAAGTAATGACCATTGCAGACCATAACTGCGTCGAAAATTTCTTTGGCTACCAGTTTCCAAATTTTTTACTGTTATTGTCCATTTAGTAGATGAACTTGGTACCTGATTCTCTTCAGGTTTTCCTAAAGGTTTAATACACTCAACATTGTGACAAAACTAAAGCAATTTATGAAAATTATAAATTATTACTCATCTATATTATTAAGAGAATAAAAAAAATTTGGTGTCTAGGATAGTCATATGATAAAATCGGTTTTTTTTAGTGTAATTTAGTGTCATTGCAAAGGTCTTGATTTGAATTTGTGCTTTTTCAAGGTTTCATATTATGCTCTATCTCTAGATACATAATTAAGAAATTACCTTGTATCTTGTGAACTATTGACATTTTTAAAGATATAAGCTCACCCCGACATTACACTTATCGAGACCTTTCATTTGAGTACCCACATCAATTTTTCATATATATTATATATATGTATATATGAAAAATATACCAAAATGGATGTGGGTACTCAAATCAAAGCTCTCGATGAGTGTAACATCGGGATGAGCTTATATCTTTAAAAATGTCAATAATTAAGAAATAACCTTGTATCTTGTGAACTATTGACATTTTTAAAGATATAAGTTCACCCCGACATTACATTCATCGAGACCTTTCATTTGAGTACCCACATCAATTTTTCATATATTTTTTATATTTATATATATTATATATATATATATGTATATATATGAAAAATATATCAAAAATGCATGTGGGTACTCAAATGAAAGCTCTTGATGAGTATAACATCAGAATAAGCTTATATCTTTAAAAATGTCAATATTTAAGAAAGTACAGTGCAATTTAACGAAAGTCATTATTTAACAAAGCAAAATTTTAATTTTTTATAGTTCACAAATCATGGTAGTCACATAGTGACCGCAAGGTTGCTAGTCAATCAATAATATTATAAGAATTACTTTAATGAGTGATCGTAATTTGAAGTTGTCACAGAAATAATTTAGAAAATCTAAAACTTCTGTACGGCTGATATAACTTTTTGGGTTCTCTGGCATAGGAAAATCTGGGAATTCCATCACTTCTTTCGGCAAATTGGTTCTGCATAAATAAATATAAGTAAATAAAGATCCATTTTTATAAGATAATTATTTGATATTAAAATAAGAACGCTAAGCCTTACCGAAGATTTTTGTACATACTGGAATGAATAGGCAGTCCATATTGGTCAACGCCAGTCTCTGGTGTATAAACCCAGATACCTCCAACTTGATCAGTCTTTTCATAACAGACAACTTCAGTAACTTTATCTTCATTTTGATTGTCTTCAGTAGTTAAATAATAAGTAACTTGTCGAAGGGCGGCTAATCCAGCACTTCCTGCTCCAATTATTGCTATACGCATTTTAAAATTAAACTATTCTGTGATATAATTAATTAAAAATAATTATTCCAAGAGTAATACTTGTCATAGAGCAGTATCTGAATGATTCGAATATTTTTTACCAATGGTATCTTACTCATTAATTTAGGATAAGTTCAATCAACTGTTTCATATAAAAGAGAATGTCGAAATAAAAATGGAAGGGATGAAGGTTATTATACCGTTATTGAAACTAATATAAAATTAAAAATCTAGTCAATTTCTATTTCTTCGCTTTAGAGTAATTTCCTTCGAAAATTTACTGATTACTATCATTGAAATATTTAATTAAATATAAAAATTTCTTTTATTCATTGTTTAACTTGTCGGCTAAGAAGAAATGACTGATAAGGTTGATAGTTCAAAAATAAACCAAATGATTAAACTTGAACTTCTTGATCTTTGCCACTAAGAAATCGAGAAAATAATTTATAATTTAATTAAAAAGTTACAACGTGAAATTATATTTAAAAACGTCTGGTTAATTAAACTCAGGAATTGTTAATTTGAATAAAAATATTTTAATAGTAAAAAATTAACTTTTTATTCATCAATAACTTTAACGATATTTCCGCATACCTTAAATAATTATATAGACTATATACAGTTATTAGAATAATATTACTTATTGTTATGTTAAGCAAATAAACGTATTAAGTAATCCAGAAAATACTTTCATTTAAACTCAAACTTGAAATGAAAAAAACAAAAAATGAAATTGAAAGGACACACATTAATTAATAAATGTAATTTGTTAATGAAAAATATCTGATTCTCGGCGACTTTTGTACTAAATATTAATTTCCATGGTAATTCTTGCATCTTTAATGGAATTTAATTTGTCAGTGACGAATGTCAGACTCCCAGCGATTTTTGTATAAAACATAAAGCTCCATAGCGATTCTTGCATCTTCAATAGAATTATGTTCCCCTGTCTGGATATCAATACCTAACAATTCAGCCGCTAATTTTTTCAGACTCGGAGTGTTACCCTTGGAGACACGCCTGAACACATTGTATCGTGAGGTATCACGTAAGTGTCTTTTTGGGTGAGATAAAAACAGCACAGCAAGATCATTTTTTAATGCATGACCAACTAAAATACGTCCTTTCAATATTTCTGCAACTTCATTTTGTACCACTGAAAAATCTTCACCATCTTGAAGATTATGAGGACGGATTCCACTGACTGCTGTCCTGTAATCACGTACTGTTTCTCTGGGTTTTACATATTTATCATAGATACAAGCTCCATGACGATTTACAATTGATACACGAGCTAACATACTTTCGGTACCATCACCAATGCCCACCATTTCACAGTCCATCGCTACGTGCTTTGTAAGTGTCTTGTTCTCAAGATCCATAGTCGCTCTAGAGTAAGTTGAGTCTCCAGTTTTGTTTTCACCCTGTAAATAATATAATTGTTAAAACAAAATAATATGTAAAAATAAATGACTCTTAAACATGACACTGAAGTTAGCAGACGTCTAAAAAAATTTTTTTTTTTTTTTTTAATTAAATTACAATTAAAAAAATATTTCTAAAAAATTGCACTTGTAGTTTTTCAAGTTTTTTACATGTGAATTTTTTTCTTTAATTGTTTAATTGAAATTTCTTCGATAAAAAATTTCTAAAAATTTTGAAATGTCAGCTAACTTCTTTTTTTACTCTTAAACTTAAAATAAAAAATTTTTAAAAATTTACATGTCCATTTAATTGCAAAGCTCTGGACTTCTTGCCACTCTGTGCAGTTTTAGAAGATCCTTTGAACGGTCTCTTGGGCGGAGTTTTAGAAGTACCAGCTGGCTTATTAACAGTGTTTTTAAACTTTTCCCAATTGGAATTAACAGCAACTTTATTTTCATCAACTTCAGCAGTCTTGGAGTTGCTTGTTTTAGTTTCTTTGGAATCTGAATCTTTAGTTTGAACTTTTTTGGTGGCTTGGATGTAAGATTTTGCAGCCTCAGGATTCATCATTTTTGATAACATTTATCATCTAACCTTGCTCTACCCACGTGCGTTTTTTATTATCACGTACTAAGCTTTGATTAATCAACAGTTTTTTAAATAAACAATTTTTTCTACCTAATTTTCTACCATTTATCATCTAATAATAATATTTAACAAATAAATCCATCTGTAAAAATAAAATAAAATTATTAACAAATTAAATATATTCCTAAAAAATTGAAGTATTTACCTCATCATTAAATGCATTTGATAATTTTTTTATTTATTATATTGTATTCCGCTTGATAAATCTTTATCATTATTTAACAAACATTTGTAAACAATTGTATTATTGTAACGGACTTTTTAATTTTGAGGTTAGGATACTAACCAATTATTTTTTTTTATTCCTGAAAAATAAAGAAATCGTTTTTGTCGACAGAGCTAAGAACAAAATAATATAATAATAATATAACACAAAACGTGGTTAAGTTTTACGTGTAATATATATATATATATATATTTCTCTTCTTCACTATACTATATCTAGGTAAATATATGCATATAGATATATTTACCTGTGTAAATTGTGGGTATACTTATAGTACTCGCATTTATTTGTATGCGAAACTAACATATACATAAAATGGAAACGTATTTATCACTCATTGGTCGAATTGATAAAATATATTGTTAAATTATTTGTACTGAATATTGAGCCTTGAAACTAGTTAATTAAACGTTTCTTATCATTAAAGTTATTATTGTTTTTTAAAAAATTAAATATTAAATACATAACAAACACTTTTAACAAATGTATTTGTTTGAAAAGACGAATTTAAATAATGGCAAAATTCTAATGTTTTTGTTAAAGTATTTAAAACATTTAAAATGTCATCATTAAATTTTGACACTGATAAAATTATTCTACAATTAAATAATTGAGAAAAAACAGTATTCGAATTAAATAAAACAATTGCAGGTGGTTTGTCGCTAAGTTTTTTTTTATTAAAATAATCCATTGTGTATTGTTAATAAGTTTATTTTGATTGTCACTTTAGAAGGAGGCTCTTTGACATGACGCAACATGTGAATAATATTTTTATAAATTGATAATAAACATTAAATATGCTGAAAATAATTTCTAGCAAATAATTTGGATGAAAGTGATGAATTCCGAATAATGAATGATAAAAACACTTGCGGGTTCAATCCTGCGTATCTTGTCTGTATAACCTAAGTTTTAATCAACGTAGACAAACTACCACAAGGATAATCATGATTTTTAACATTAAAATGTGGATGAAAGCCTGGCTGCTTTGTATTTGCTGTGTATTAGCTCAGCAGGATCCAGAGGTAACATTTAAATCTTTATCTAAAGTAAATATTATCTCTTAATATCAGCAATTCTATCAGTATTTGATGATTAAAAATCGTTAAATAAATATTTCAATTTCCAGAATCGCAGTACGAGTTTAATTTCCGAGCAAGATGATCCGCTGTTGTTATTCCTTACCATCAGTGGATCGTTTGTTGGCGTAGGTCAACAGTCCGGTAAAATCCGCTGGCGCCAAGACAATGAACCTATTGTTAAAGTTCCATATGACGTATCTCATACATCTCCGATGTTTTTACCAGATCCAAAAGACGGATCTTTATATTTTTACGGAGCAGGGCTTGAAGTTTTCAAGAAACTGCCATTTACGATACCACAATTGGTAGCAAAAAGTCCTTGTCGCAGTAGCGATGGATATCTTTACACAGGTAGGAAAACTGACACGTGGTTCAGTATTGATCCAGTCACTGGAGAACGTGAGCAGCTTTCAGGTTTTGATGAGCCTGATAACACGTGTCCACTCGAGACTCCAAACACTATTTTTGTCGGGCGTACTGAGTACAATATTATAATGGTCGATAGTAAGCAAAAGGAGCGCAAATGGAATGTCACGTTCTATGATTACTCCACGGCAAACATTGAAGGAGCGGATGATTATGATTTCGTTCACTTTACGACCAGCTCAACAGGTCGTGTTGTAACGCTGGATCCAAGACTTGGAGCTGTTTTGTGGGAATTAGATCTAGAAAGTCCAGTTATTTCTGTTTACACGATTGACAATGATAATTTAGTATCCGTCCCCTTTACCAGTGTCTCTGAAGATACTTTAGATAATATAATTGAGCGATTTAATTCCAAGCCTAATGATATTCAATTATACCCAGCACTTTATGTAGGAGAACACAGACACGGTTTGTATGCATTACCGTCTCTTGTTGACTCTTCTACTGCGACAATATCGTCAAATACTGAACACTTGATGCTCGAGGGTCCTCGAGTAATTTCAAATTCACCCCAAGATGATTCTCAGAGTGAAAAAAATTCAAGGGTAAATTCAGAAGATCAGAAGTTGGATGGAAGATCGCAGAGTAATTTAATTGTACTGGGTCACTATAAAATGTCAGAATTAAAGCCACTGAACCAACCACTGCAGATAACTGGTCGTTCAGATCCTGTTATTCAAACGACAGATCTATTGGGTAATTCTTCTGGAAAAATTACAATTGTTTTGTCGAATCATGAGCAAGCGAAGATAATTAATAGCACAGAAAATCGCAGCTGGCGTAAAGCTATTGCTAATAGTTATAATGTTAGCAAACGTTGGATAAATCAACAAGAAAGTAAAGGGCTGAAGTTGGCTCTCATTATTCTCGCTGGATGTCTTATCATGGTGATATGGCACTGGTATGTTCAGAATAAAGAGCTGAAGATTTTATCTCAAGGCTCGAGGGAAAATAGTCGGACTAGTAACTACAGTGGTAATGGAGTTATGATAATACCTGAAGATATTGGTGGTGGCACTGTTAAAGTTGGAAAAATAGTATTCAATATTGATGAAGTATTGGGTAAGGGTTGCGAGGGAACGTTTGTTTATAAAGGAGAATTTGATGGCAGGTCTGTAGCGGTTAAACGTCTTTTACCCGATTGTTTTACATTTGCCGATCGTGAAGTTGATTTGCTGAGAGAGTCAGACGCTCATGCCAATGTTGTCAGATATTTTTGTACGGAGCAAGACCGTATGTTTCGATATATTGCTCTTGAATTAGCTCAAGCTACATTACAAGATTACGTTGTCGGGAAATATAATCGTAAATTTATATCTGTGAAGAATATTTTATTACAAGCAACTTCTGGGCTTGCTCATTTACACTCTTTGGATATAGGTACGCATTCATAAACTAATTTTTATTTTATTTTTAAACAATACACTAAACCCTACAGCAAAGCCAATAAGCAGGTTCCATTAGAAAAAAAATAACAGTTACATAATGTTTGATAATAATACTTATAAGTAATAGTAATAGTAATAAGTCCATATTTAGTGTAACAAGTAAATACATAAAGTATTCTGACTCAGTCTCAATTTGATAAACATAGTTTCGAGAAACAATCAACATTATTTATCTGATAGACATCAAGACTGTTATCAATTTTATAAAAATTGTTAAAAGCATTCATTAAACAATATAGAGGAGCAGAAGTAGCAAAATTAGTACCTGTTAGTGGAAGCTGAAAGGAGACACTGCTCCTCCAAGTCGAAGTTTTGAAAGTAATTGATTCTAGTAGTCTCGGACAATCCACCTTGCCCTGTAATTAATAATAAAGTATCAAATATTTACTATATATTTATTTTCTTGTTTCAGTTCACAGAGATATTAAACCTCACAATGTTTTGCTCTCGATGCCAGGGCCTCGTGGTGAGGTCAGAGCTATGATTTCAGACTTTGGATTATGCAAAAAATTACAACTAGGTCGAATGTCATTTTCTCGTAGATCTGGTGTGACTGGTACAGAGGGATGGATTGCACCTGAAATGTTGAATGGTGAACGTACAACCTGCGCTGTTGATATATTTTCTCTGGGTTGTGTATTTTATTATGTTTTATCCAATGGTAATCATCCATTTGGCGATACCTTGAGAAGACAAGCCAACATATTGTGTGGAGAGAGCAACTTGTCCTCGCTTACTGATATTAGTAATAGTGATAGAGAACTTGCATTGGTATTAATCAAGGCGATGATTGACAGTGACCCTACTAGTAGACCTCCAGCGTTTGCAATACAAAATTATCCATTCTTTTGGAATTCATCACGTATTCTTAATTTCTTTCAGGTAACAATAAATTTTTTTCGTTTTAATTACAACCCTGATTACAAAAAAGAGATTTGAAAAGGTTCGAAATGGCTCAAAGTGATTGAAAAAGATTCAACTTAACAAATATATACACAGAAAAAAAATGTTCTTGAATCATCAAGTATATAATTTTCAAGATCTTAATATTGTTGATTTGAGTAGAAAAATTTTTGGTCTTGATTTAAGACAATTACCCTCTTCAAAATTATATTCTTGTATTCAATAATCAAGATAATTTTTTTTTCAGTTTAGATATACATTTTGCATGGGTTGAATCGTTTTAAATCTTTATTTTAATAAGGGAACAGCGGTTGTTATTCACGTTATATTAAAAAAAATTTTTTTTCTCCTACAGGACATCAGTGATCGAGTTGAGAAAGATGATCCAGGTAGTTATGCATTGATGGTCCTAGAATCTGGAGGTGAACGGGTCGTTGAAAAAGATTGGCGAGCTTGTATTGATGTCGAAGTGGCTAATGATCTTAGAAAGTACAGAAGCTATCGTGGTGAAAGTGTCAGAGATCTTCTCCGTGCGCTTAGAAATAAAGTATAATATTTATTGACCAATTAATTATAATGCTCATATATTAGTACTAATATTCAATATTCATAATGCGGTTTTTAATTATTACAGAAACATCATTATCGAGAATTAACGCCTGAAGCGCAAGCCAGTCTTGGTGAAATCCCTGGAAAATTTACAGAATACTGGTTATCAAGATTTCCACACTTGATAACTCACAGTTGGTGTGTAATGCAAAAATTCCGGAATGAACCAACTTTAAAAGATTATTATCATACTGATTACGAGTTTACGACTTATCCCGCCTATAATGTCGTTGAAGAAATATCTCTTCGACCTTTATCATATATAAATAATAATGTAGGAACGACAGCAACAGAAGCTACGCAATCAGAATCTCTGGTGCCCTCATGGAGGGTTCGTAATGCCATTGATTGGAGTCCTAATCGTACTAGGTTCCGACCTAACAGAAAAAGACAAGAGAGACGAAAAGCCGAAGGTCCAATTGTCTGGACTCTACCGTCCGCTAGTTAAGCCTTCCATTTGGTCTATGGAATAAATTTCTTACACAGACTAGCGCCAAAAAATAAAGTGACTTATATGATTTTTAATGAAAATTTGTGATAATTATGCAGTAATGAGTGAGGTACGTCGAGTAACTAAATTATTAAAATTGATAATCAAAACAAAGATATTCATTATTATGGTCATTCTTTTTTTTTTCTTAAAAGTGATTAAAATATGGACCATTATTGACTACTATTTAATATTTAAGATTCTTTTTTATCTTCCCACTATGAAAATAAAAAGTTTTCAAAGGAAAAATTTTTGATTGTGTGTGTGACAAAATTGTTGTATGCACAAGAAAAAAATTAATTTTAGGCTCAAGGAGCTAAAGAAAGATATTAACATCTTTTTTTTAGCTATAATAAAACAGCGGGAAATTTTATGAATGACCTGCAGAGTCAACTGTTTCTCAGATTTGTTTTTATTTTTGAGCACAATTATTCTTATTTTATTATTTTCATTTTTTTTTCCATCATGACTTAATAAATAATATATTTAGTGATTGTTAAAAAAATATTTTTAAGAAAAATTGATGGAAGGCTAAGGTTTAGATCGATAAATAATACGCAAGTATTTATATTTAAAGAATACTTATTTATTAATAATTATAGAGAAAAAGTAAGCGAGGTGCTTCGTACAAAAGTAATCTCCAGAATAAACCAGCGTGCCCCGACCACGAAGTCGGGGGCTCTCGGTAAGACACTGAGCGCGCTCAAGGGCGGCTAATCAGGGAATTAAATATAGGCGTTATTTCTAACAAAAATTAATATTTATATATTTATATAAATGTATTTTTGTTGTGAATCCACAAGCACGTGACGTTTGGAATGTATAAAAAAGAAAATTTTTTAATTATATATATTTATATTGTTATTGTAAAGAAAAAAATAATTAAAAAAAAAAAAAAAAAAAAAAAAAAAAAAACTTAACTATAATTGTATATAATAATTGTAAATATAGTATTTCTTTACACGATTTATGGACTGTGGCGTGAGATAATGATAAATAAGAACTACTGTTTCATATAATTATTATAACATAACAAAAAATAAAGTAAAAAAAAAAACAATAAAAATCAAATTACTGATAAAAAAATGTATATTTATAAAATATCAACAGGATTATTAGTTTTATTTTCACTGTGTGCCGCCAGGATCTTCATACAAAAAACATCTTGTACTTCATCAAGTGCGCTCGCACCTTTGAAGTTTCGACTGTGAATATCGGCACCATGTCGTAGTAATAGTTCAATAATATGTGAGTCACCGTTTTTAGCAGATAAATGTAACGGCGTGTCACCAGTATAATCTTTAACATCTACATCAATTGTACAACAGTTCAATAGCAATTTAACAGCTTGAATTTTGCTTTTAAGACAAGCAACATGAAGAGGAGTACGATTTTTATTTGTCGTTCGAGCATTAACATTAGCCCCTGCATCCAGTAAAATCTGGATTAATTCAGTTAGGCCAATCGCACAGGCATAATGAAGAGCTGTCTCTCCTCTAGGATTGGTGACATTCAATCCCAATGCTACTGTCCGATTAGATTGATCAGATATTTCTTCGGTGGGTTCGCAATTTTCACAAACACATAGAGGATGACAGAGACGTGGAGTATTATCAGTTGCTTTTACAGGTGGACCTTCGAGTCCTAGATAATAACAAGCTAATCTAATATCACTGCGACAGATGGCTGCCAGTAATTTATCAACCTGATGAATTTTCTCTGGTGACTCGTCACAGCTTTTTTTATTATTGTTTATCATTTTTGATTTTAATTCCAGAGAATGTTGGTGACGCTGGCGATTCATCACACGATGAACAGTTTCTAAAGTTTCTGGATGCTCTTCTAGACGATGTAGAATGTGACTACTGTGCGCTACAGTCATGGGCGTTTGACCACGTCGATTGGCAGCGCGTTTATTCGCACCATGCTCTAGTAAAATTTCAACAATGGTCATAAAACCCCATTTGGAAGCATGGTGTAGTGGAGTATCTCCTACAACGTTAGCACAGCTGGTATTTATTGATATTCCCATTTGCCCTGAAAAATAAAGCAGCGCTTTGACACAATTCTCGTGACCACTGTCTGTTGCAAAATGAAGTGGGCTGTTTCCTCTATTGTCAAGTAATCTTGGATCTGCATTAGCATGCAGTAGGAGCAAAACAGTATTTTGATGGCCTCGTAGAGCAGCACAGTGAAGTGGAGTTAAACCGTCGACATCCTTGGCATTGGGATCAGCATGGTGTATTAGCAAAAAATCAACAACCGCAACATGCCCGCACGAACTCGCAACATGAAGTGCTGTTCTATTTCTATTGTCCTTGGAGTTCACGCTCGGCCAACTAGATTGTGCCAATTGAATTTCAGTGAAACTGCTCTCGCAATTTTCACAGCGACACAGTGGATGGCAGAGTTTTGATTCTAATATTGGTTTTTGATTTTTTTGATTTAAAATTCTCTCGATTTCTTCTAAATTACACTTTTGGACGGCTGAAAAAAATTTATTCACCGTTGTCTTGTCTTGCAGTGATGCGTCGTTTAAAGATTTGACTAGAGACAATTGTAAATTTTGTTCAGATAGCTCACCAGACTTTACATGTTCCACAGCAGCTTCCAAAGAAGTTATTAAAAATCCAACTTCATCAGTTTCATTTATTGCGTCAGCTGAAAATCTAAATTGCTTCATAAATTCTAACTGTGCAATCCAATTTGGTAAACCAGTACGTACAACTATGTAAATAAGTATTGGTAATAAATTATCACAGCTTATTGTATCAATATTTTCTGATATTAAATGAACAGCGTGTTTTAAACATCCAACTTTACCAAGTACCGTGACAAATGTATCCAACCGTGATAATTCTATTTTACCACGTGCTATTCCTGCTTGTATATCGTGACTAATTTCAGTTAGATCCTTCAATTCTAATTCGTAAAGATTTTTTATTATTTTATTCAATTTAGCGTCATCTTGAGACGTATTTGTTGACACAGCACCTGGTAAAAGATTACGTAAACCATATAAAACGTAACTTTCCACGGCTAATTTTATTGTACGATAATAGTGTGGACTTGCTGTTATTTTTTCTTGTAATTTTGTTATACTTATTATTTTATCCAAACACTCGTGATATAATTTTTCAATCAACTGTCTCAGTATATTTATACTATTTTTATCGATACTATTTTTATGAGAATTTTCAAATGTCTCGATATAAGTATCCAAATCACGAAATACATTTTTATCATCAACCTCTGTCCACAAAAAATTCATGCAGTCACCGACGTTTGATAAAATTACAACATCATTGTCTGAATTAAGTGATCCAGGTGTCAGCGGTCGTTCAATGCACCTGTCAAATTGTTTAATAACATTGTATTTTATTTATATAAACATAATTAAAGAATGAATCAAGCTTAAGTAAAAACATACGGATTACTACTTACCAAACAGTGTACTTTAATAAATTATTCGTGTAGAATGTCTCCTCAAAAAGTAATCTCGAGGCTTTATTATTAAATTCATGATCTTGAAAATTTAGATGTCGGTTTTTTAATAATATTTTATTACCAGCAAGTGTTTGAAAAGTTTGATGATGATGTTGAAGTTGATGAGTATGCTCAGAATCATCTTGATGACTCTGAGGTATCAACACATGTCCTGACACATCATTCTCATTTATAGTGTAATTATTTTGAAAGCTGCCAGTACGTGGAACACATATTATCCAATTATTATCAACTGTTTTCTTGAATATTTCTGGATAATTTGTTTCAAGTGTACGTAAAAAAATATTTTCGGATAAATTTTCGTCGTAACTTGCCTCCATATTTGTCTTCTTGATCCATTAATATATACAAAAAAACAATAAAAATATGTGGATACAGGATCTCGAATCTGTGATCAGCCTGAAATAATATAATGAATAAATATGTGTAAGAATAACAAGTATAATAGCAATAATATTGATAATAACAAGACACAAACAAAAAAAAAAATAATGAATTTTCAGCGCGTTCCGCGAGATGTCGTCAAGGTTGATTATTTAAATTTTTATAAATTAATTATTTATTGTTCCGGGTATTTTATAATTACGTTACATTAATAAATAAAGTGTAAGATAAAACCTGTAAGTATTTAAGAGTTTTATAACTTTAAAAATAATTATAATTACAACAATAAGCAAAGACCGGATCAATTATACGCAGAACTTGATAAGGATAATTTAATATGTCTTCATATTCTAGCATAATGAATTATTAAAATAAATAAATGTCAACAAGAAGAAAAATTACTTGATTAAAGACTTAAAAATTCTAAATGGAGGATTATGGATTAAAGTTATCGTTAAAAATTTTTTCGTCAAATTTTATCATTCGAGATTTTAAGATACTAAGTATGTCGAAGATAACATTGTCCAATGAACATTTTACACTCAATAAAAATTATGACAGACGATAATTTGATTAGGTAATTTAATCTCTAAATATTTACTCTACTTAACCACAATTTTATGTTTATAAATATTAATAATAGTGTTTTTTTTTTTTTTTACAGCAACTAATTAATTTTTTTTCTAATTATTAATAAAAGTAGACCAAGGGTAAAAATACAAGAAAGTACGGGCAGGATAATAAAAATAAATTTATATTTATTAAAATTTTTTACATATAAATAATACATCGAATAATCTTACATAATAACAACAATAACATAATGACTGAAAAAAATAAAATTAATTAAATAAAATTTATTTCAGATTTGGAAAGGCCTAAAAGAATTAATTAAAAAACTAAAATTAAACATAACACAGGATCTATGTACAATATTTGGTTCTCAGCTTACACAGGACTGATTAATAAAAATTAATTATCCAGGAGCAGTCAATAATCAATAGTAACACAATAAATTAATTACTTAATTAATAAACAATATTACAACATTAATCAGCAGGGAGATCGTGAGTCAATCTCTCCTTCCTGCTTCTTCCGCCTTTTAGCTCGATCAGCACGTATGAACTCCGGATTATTCCAATGTTGTACTTCTCCACTAGCGTATAAAATAAATACCATATTTGTTATTACAAGAACAATGAAAACAATCCAAAAGACTAATCGCCACTGTGCGTTTGTGTTATTGGGCGTTAATTCACCGACAACAATTGGTGTAATGATACCAGTAAAAGCTCCAACACCATTTACCACCGCCATTAAGGTACCAGAGTAATTTGGACTGAGATCAAGTGCATTGACCTTCATGCCAGGATAGAAAGTCCCCATGAGCGTCATACCGATAGTGAACATCGCTACAACTGTGTATCCATCACATCCAGCATAAGAAGCTGCTACAATAAAAACACCAGGTCCTACCGAAGCGATGGTTGTTCCAATTTTCCGAACATTTGTTCGAGAAAGGTGTCCGGCAGTGATGATCCAGTCCGCGAACCAAGAACTCAAAATACTGCAGATCCACATGCTCAGATAAGGCAGAGATGACAAGTACCCGTTGCTTTTTATTGAAAATTTTAACACACTGCTCATGTACTTAGGAAGATCAGTGACCATGGTGAAGAAGCCCCAATCATGCCCAATTTGGGCTGTTATCAAAGCCCAAACGGGCGCTGAAGTTAAAACGTGACGCCATGGTACTGCTGGTGGTTTTTTGTGAGTATGAGCGCTCATTCGTTCATGAAGAAACTTCCGTTCATTCTCTGATATGAAGGGATGCTCGCTGGGGTTGTTGTAGCACACTAGGACCCACACGAAGAACCAGAGAACTCCGATGCTACCGAAAACATAAAATACTGCTGGCCAACCAACTGTTGAGTAGTGCATTATCAGGCCAGATATTGAAGTGGTGAAGACTGTTCCCAGCAATGCACCAGCAAACACAAGTGATCCTATTTTAGAACGCTCTTCAGGTGGGGTCCACTGAGCCAACATCGCGTTCAATGCTGGAAAGGTTGTTCCTTCTCCCAGGCCCATAAGAACTCGCAGGATTATCAGCGCTGTTGCTCCGCCAATATCAACTGCCAGCGGTGTCAGCAGGGTGAATATTGCCGTGGATAAAATTCCAAGACCCAAGGAATATTTTCCGCCAAATTTTTCGGCTAACATTCCACCGGGAATGTGAGTTATTACATACCCCCAGTAAAATGAGGAGAGAATGATACCTTGAAGCGATTCATCCCAATGATAAGATCCGCTGGTTGAATTTACAGGTGGATCTTGTTGGTGATTTTCGTTTGAACAAACGTCATCGTCAATTACAGTAGATGTATTTTTATGCTCTGACACCACCATCTCGGTTATTGTTATTGACAAACAGACTCGCATTGTGTAGGCGTTGAAGATTGCAAGGAATCCCATGATTGCAAACACCCATCTCTGTTGAATTTGTATACCTACAGGAATAATTAATAATAGATAAATTATTAAAGTGGATAACTTTTAAAATTTTTCTATAAATTAATAAATAGATATGCTGAAAATTTAAAAAGTAAACTTACAGCATGATTTCCACAGTGATATCATGATTAAAAATTGAAAAACACACGAAACGATATATTTTTTAAGCTAAATTGAAAGCAGGTCAGCTGTTATGATTATTTATAAAAAAAAATAAAATTTTCCAACGTCACTGATGAGTTTAAAAGTATCAATAAATGAATAAAATCTCAGCACCTGCGAGCTGGTAACGAGCAACTGAGGGTTCAACCTCGGTGAATTCGCTTTATATCTTGTATGATGGATCGGCCGGTGTACTGTGTATTACCTCTACCTCTACCTCTACCTCTCTACTTAATTTCGATAAGCTAAACTCTACCTAGCATCGCTGTCTTATTACTGTCATCTTAACTTGAACAACAAACTACATTTACAAGCAGCTATTATTATTCTAAAAATTTCAGTAGCGTTTTTATATTAATTAAACAGTTAGATATTGAGGAAAATATTTCCGCTAGATTAGCCTTTGAGGTATGTTAAAAAATTTATTATGTACTTTACTTTTTTTTTTTTGTTATTTATATATATTTGCAGTGATTACGCAGAGGTAAATGCTTTCTACAAGCAATATCATTGATACGCGTTGACATTTGATTATTATCATTGCGAATAATTCCGAGTCTTTTTTCCACTTATCTACACATACTGATCCCATCGACAATTGATATGATAAAAAAAAATATCCTGCATGTGACGGTTAAATTCATTGTTTCAATAATTAAGAAAATAAATACTTGTATTGTTATTGGATATATTTTTTTATTTTTTTCACTTTCTTCATTTATGATTAGAGCATACATTGCAACATTAATTTAAAATCCTCTTAGATGAATGTGTCAAATAAATTACAGAGGAATTTATAAATTAATCAATTAAATATTTAGCTAATAAAAAAATTTATTGAATGAAATATTAAAAATCTATGCAATAAATACTTAATAGATTTAATAAAAAAAAAAAATTTTTTTTTTTTTTTCAATTATTAGATATTAATGATGCAAAAGGTGTTGGATTTAATTAAACTTGATGACCGTGAGCTAAATGATAGTTTAATTAAAAATTAATAAACGACATACCGCGTTGAGGTATTTCCATCGTTGGTAAATTTGATAATATGCCTGCTTTTCTTTTAGGTAGCAGTGGAATTGTTTCTGTGAATTTTTGTTTCCTTGGCATTGTAATTTTTGTTTTAACTTCACTTTTTCTAGTTCAGTTTTAAACTTTATCAGTAATTTACGTAGAAAATTAACAATAATTATTTATAACCAGTATTTTTTATTTAAATATATTATCATGACAGTTGATGTTAATCACTGATGACCCAACACTACTTTAATTGTCTACTTTTGCATTGGAGTTTGTTACAATGGCTTATCAGACTTAAAGTCACGACCATACGACGTATTGATGCCCGAAGCAATTTTTATATATTGTACTCAGCTCACAAGTACACATGCAATTTTTTCACAATTAATCTTGTCTCAATACGTAACGATTAATGAGAAGAGTATTTATTATATGTGTTTATATTTATTGTTTATTGTTAAATAATAAATGAAATCAACAATCAAAAATTATTATTGCTTCCACATACTTCAATTTTTTTTTCTACATTCCTATAATATTTATTTATTTATTTATTTATTTACAAAAACATTGTTATTACATATTAATGTGGAATTAAATCTTCACAATAATTGCAAAACAATAAATAAAACCAATAATCGAGTGTTTTTTCATAATTTATTTATGAATATGACTTTTAATTTATTACGCATTAGCATGAAACTCAAATCAAATTTTATCTTGGGAAATTTGATAAAATATAAAATTTTTTATACTTGATAAAATCATCAGTCTAAGAATGTAATGATATTGATTAAAATTTGGACATTTATAGAAATTTCAAGTGTCAGTTTTTTTTATTATTGTGATAAGTTAAGTACTAAAATAAATAAATATCTTCTATAATTCAATTGTACGATAAAAATCACGTGAATAACTTTGCAAATACGATAGGTATTTAATTAACAGTATCTTTAAAATCATTTACATATCCACGTAAAGATTTATCTGTTGAATTAATAAAGAAATTTTTTTTTACATTTTTATTTTTTTTTTTATTGAATGAAGATTGCTATTGTGAATGATATCGGGGATTTTTTTCGACTCATTAAAATTGATAATAATGAGATCTAATCAGATTAGGGTCAATGTGAATGAATGGAGCAAAAAACTTTCTTTTTGCATCAAAGAATTAGCGATATCGTAACATTCTATTCTTATCATTTTATTTTTGTTAAATAAAACGATATTAAGCTACTGGTTCAATATAAAAATACAAAATTTTTATTCTAAGGTTTATAAATATAAATTATGCAATTAAAAATACGTCCCAATTATTTAGCTATGATATTTCTTATTTTTAAAATTATTTTTTACTACAGACGGAATATGACTTCGAAGATCTTCAGATTCAATATTCATACTGCTTTTGTATTTCTTCATCGTACGTTCCTGCAAATAATTAAATAATTTAATCAGTTTGAACAGTGAAAACAGTTAAAAAAAAAAAATTTTCAAGTTCTAATGAATAGACTAGCCCGGCTGCCCAATTTCAAAACTCAGTAACTAACATTTAGAAATTTTTCTTATTCAAAATAAGTTTGCCTGCCAAATTAATGAAAAATTTCATTTATAAATAGAAAATACTTGAATATAAATATTTTTAAGAAAAAATACTTTAAATTAAGGTCTAAAAGTTATAAAAAATGCAGTAATATTAAAAAAAAATTAGGTATCAAAATTTTGCAGTTACTGTGTTTTAAAATTGGGCAGCCGAGCCACTTTAGTAAATTCCATTCAGGGTGAAATTGAGTTCTACGGAGGTTCATACGGCATTTTCATCAACAACACTAGAAGAAATTTACTAATCATACCAGAACACTAATAAATACAATCAATCCTTTTTTAATTTGTGCCTTTTCTCCATCTAGTACTTGCAAATAAATTTACTAATAAATTTAATATTATATCTTTTATATCTTTAATGTATATTGCCGCTTGGCGTAAAATGAATAAATAAATAAATAAAATAAATAAATTAAGTTAAATAAGTTTAAATAAATTATCTTTGACTAATTTGACAGGTGAAGGAAAAAAATGTAAGATTCGCCAGATAATTATCAAAAGAATCAGATATACAATCAGTTCAATTACTTGCTCGTGTTACTGTCTACTGACTTATCATAAAAAAATATCTGGTGTTGCTTAAAAAAAAACATAATTGAACACTTTTAGATACGGAACCACTTGACTACTGAATACTATTTCAATGTTTTGAATAAGTGAATGAATGTATAGGTCACTTACAACTTCTTTGACACAGAACTCCTTGGTAAGATCGTAAAGCTCTTCAACGGTCCAGCTCGACTCATCGGGTTTGTTCAGCAATATATACTTGCAGTCTTTCTGGTGTCGTACGTGCTCTTCCCATGGATTGTCAGTCTCCTCCCAGCCGTCCATAGGTTTGTTACACATAAAACACTCGACGGAGTCCGGTTCAGTTTTGCCTCCAGTTGCAAAAAATCCAGCTGCTGCCATACTCTCAGGATTGCAGGGTGCGTTGGATTTGAATGGCCAGTATTTATAAGTTTCCAGTCGGTTTCGCTTCCAGAACATCGAATCTGTCGATCTGTGTGAGTAAATAAATTGTCATTTGGAGGTTATAGATACTTTAAGAGTAATAATTAGAAATATATGTGTAATTATTGACTAGGAATTAACTAAACACAATAGTTTTAATTACTTACACGAACTGGTCCATTTTTTTAATTATTAGATTTAAAGTATTTGTTGTATAAATTGATATTTGTTTAGCTTTTTTCAGAGCAGTTGATACTATAATAAATTTCAGAAGCCGTTAAGAGAAAAATTCAAACCACAACTGTGTTTGAAAAGTGACTTATAGTTAGCGCCACTAATCGAGTAATTGTAACTGCAGTCAATAATAATGTTTTCGTTACCAGGCTTATCGGCTTATCATTACCATCCAAGTTTGAATGTTTATAATAATGATTAATGATAAGAAATTGATTTATTAATTGCATTAAAGTTATTCGGCGTTTTTAATTTTTATTAATTATTAAATTAAAACTAAAAAATATTTTTTAAAAATTGCACTTAGAGTTTTTCAAGATTTTAGCAAATGAAATTTTTTTTTTATTTTGCAATAATTTTTTATAATAAAAAAAAGTTACAAAAATTTTTGAATGTCGGCTAACTTAATTTTCATTAAAGTTAGCAGTCAATTCAAAATTTTTTAATTTTATTCAACAAAAAAATTTGTTCCAAAAAATTATTTTAAAAAAATTGCATTTTTTATTTTTTTATATTTCTGCATGTCAAATTTTTTTTTCTAATTTTTTTTGCCATAATTAATTTGTTATGTGATTCTTAAATCTATGCTAAATTAATTTTTATGATGACATTAAAGTTAGCTGTCACTTGACAAATTTTTTTATTTTATTTAACAATTAAATTAATTCTAAAAAATTATTATTAAAAAATTGCATTTTTAATTTTTTTAAATTTCTATGTGTCAATTTTTTCATCTAATTTTTTTTGCTATAATTTATTTGTTCAAAAAATTTTTTAAATTAATAAATATCGGCTAAGTTAATTTCCGTAATTTATAACAAAAAAATTTTTTTTTAATTCTACATGTAGAAAATTTAAAAAACAATGCATGGAATTTTTTACAATATTTTTTTAGTTCTAATTTAATTAATGAAAAAAATATAAAAAATCGTCAAATGACTGATGCTAACTTGATTTATTGATTTAATGATGACTTGCTATCCCTGATTAGAAAAAGAGATTTGAAAAGATTCGAAATGGCTCAAAGAGATTAAAAAAGATTCAACTTGACAAATATATAGATATACATTTTCCATGGGTTGAATCTTTTTAAATCGTTTTTTTTTTTTAATAAGGGATAATTGATTTATTTATTATGTGAAGTTACAATGATTTTTTTAAAAATAATTTTAATGGTTGGAAGATGAGAAAAAAGGAAAAAAAAGCAAGTAGAGAAACAGCAGGAGTTCATGTCTTTAAAGGAAGCATAGAGAAGAAATTATATTTGATCGGTAAATAAAATATATTTTAATGAAAATTAATTTAGCAGGTATTTGATAGTTTTAAGAATTTTTGTAATAAATTATGGCGAAAAAAAATTATAAAAAAAAAAATTGACGTGTAGAAATTTTAATAAATAAAAAATGTAATTTAAAAAAACATTTTTTTTCAGAACGAATTTCCCTTATAATTAAAAAAAATGATTTCTAACAACCCATACAAAATGTATATCTATATGTTTGTCAAATTTAATCTTTTTTAATCGCCTTTTGAGCCATTTCGAATCTTTTCAAATCTCTTTCTAATCAGGGTAATTAAAAAAAAAATAGTCAAAAGTAACTGCTAATTTTAATGTCATATATTTTGCAGAGTTATAATGAATTGATAGATTGAAGAAATTTATAAAGAAATAAAAAAAATTAAGTTTAGTTTAATTTATAAAAAGAAAAATGTAAACAACTTTATTATTATAAAAAAAATTGAGTAAAAAAATTCCATGTGAAAATTAAAATAAAAAATTATCAGTGGAAATTTTTGAAAACATTTTTATTGTTGTAATTTTATTATAAAAATTAAAAAAATTGACAGCTGTCAGTTAATTTCACTGTAATTACTATTCATTAAAGCGTACAAAAAAAGTAAACAAAATCTTTAGTAAAATAAAGTATAGCTAATATTGCAAAGTAGGGGAAAAAACTTAGTGATAGTGAAAAATAGGAAGAAAATGATCAATGAAGCTCAGTATACATATTTCGTGTGAATGTCAAGCAATGTCAAGTGCCAGTGTGAATAATTCTATTTTCTATAGTCTATCCAAAGGCCCATAGAACAACCTATAGGTGTCAGATTTTAGGTATATATTAGTAATACAATTGCAAATAAAGGTATTGAGTACTCAACTACAGTCGACACAGTACCGAGTTACCAAATTTCATGTGCAGCAAGTGTCCATTTTATTTCGTTTGGCGTCGTTTCAATTATCACGTGGCTCAGGTGAATATTATTTTGTTTTTAATTACCTAAATCGATGTTATTTCTTCAATAATAATCATAAATACAAGTAGTTTTATTTTTATCAATTAAATTTAATTTTTTCAGACTAAATTGAATTAATTATGACGAACATGGAGCAAGATCATTCATCAACGAGGCACACTATTTTGTATGAGTGGAAAATTAATGAAATTACATCATTAATAAAATCCTTGGCCGAAACTCAAGACTGCGTGAAGCTAACATCACCTGCATTTTCGACGGGAGCGAAATCGCAAGACTCGTGGTGTTTAGAATTAAAAATTAACAAAAGAGACAAACCATACTCAAAAGACCAACCAGATCTACCAGAATCTACAAAACAATATTTGACGGCATATCTGCAGCCAAACAATGGAGATAAACAAGTAAGAATAAAATATTCACTATTTCTTCATGATAAAAACAAGAAAAAACATTTCGTTCGTCGCAGTAGCCAAGTTTTTGATGATTTAGATGGTTGTGGTTTTGATTTAGTTGAGCTAGAGAATTTGTTGAGTCAAAAAGAAGAATTATTAATTAACGATACTCTTACAGTATGTATAAAATTGACTGTGTACGATATGGATGATAAAATTTTAACGAATTCTTCAAAACGGAAACTTGTCGATGATTTTCAACAACTTCTTGAGAGTAAAATCGGCAGTGACGTACTTCTAAATGTTGGCGATCAACAAATTTATGCTCATAAAAGTATTTTAATTGCTCGTAGTCCTGTTTTTGCTTCTATGTTGATTAACGGAATAGATGATAAAAAGAACGAGCTGACGATATCCGATATTAGTGCTGAAATAATTGAAAAAATGCTTCAATTTATTTATACTGACCAAGTTACTGACCTTGATAGCGATGCCAAGGATTTATTGCAAGTTGCTGACAAGTATCAACTTCAGGCGTTAAAAGAATTATGTGAAGAGTCTTTATTTAAGTCAATAACAGTAGACAATGCTGTTGATATTATGGTATTAGCTGAAAAGAACCATGCTAAGAGGTTGCTAGACTTTGCTACCAATTACGTCGTAAGTAATGCAAGTCAGCTTGTAATTAACGGATCTTTCAGAGTTGAGGATCATCTTAATTGTTCGGTGGTATCAAATTTATTCAAGAAAATAATGTCAACTATAATCACTGACTCTCGGACTAGATTTCCTTTTACGCTGAAACAATTTTTCATGTCCTGCCTTTTTTTTATTGTCTTCATTTATTATATTTATGTTTATTTGCTGTCTGGAGTTGTGAAAATTTATCGCGCAACCAGAGCTTTCATGAAGAATCGATCATTAGCTAAAAATAAATCGTCATCTAGTAGCGACAATGTTACTTTATCCGGTGAGCTCACTGTCTTCAATGATCACTCATCATTCAGAGTTAATATTCCGTTTAAAACATCAAAGCGTCTAAATACTGACGACTTCAAGCAGCTTTTTGACGATAGTAATGAAATATCTAGTGATGTAACCTTGGAAGTTGGTGGACATGAATTCAAAGCTCATAAAGTTATGTTGATGGTACGCAATCCTTTGGTATCTGCAATGTTTATGGACAAATTGAAAGAAAATAAAGTCGACATCGCTGATATTGATCAAGAAACTTTGAAAAAATTGCTAGAATTTATATTTACTGATAAAGTAAACGCCTTAAACAATGATTCGGAATTGTTATTGAAGGATACGGACAAAAATCAGTTGCAGAAACTGAAAAGTATATGCGATGAATCACTTTGTAATTCAATAACTCTCAAGTACGCCATGAAAATGATGATTATTGATGATAATTCTGATCAATTGCGAGAGTACGCTACTGTATTCATCGTTATTAATATTACGCATGTCATGAAAGCGATTAATTTTAACAATAATAATGTTGAATTTCCATTAATTCTGTCAGAGATTGATGATAAGCTTGCGATAATGGATAAAGATAACGGTACGTCATAAATATATTTTATTTTTTTTTTTAATACGATGTTTGAGTATAAGATTACTAATTTAAGTAACTTATTGTATATTTTCAGATGAAGAAAAAAAATCAGAGGGTGCTGCGGAAATACGAGAAATGATAGATTTTGATTAATAAGTTAATTTGAATCTCAATTTTTACTCTTATTTATGCTTTTATTTATTAACTTATTCTGTAAATATTTTTTTTAATAATTGTAAATGTATAACGCAAGCACGTACGGCGTTAGCTTAGCTTTTTCTTAGCACTGTACTCTCCAAGCAACTTGCTATCATAGTCGTATTACACAGTTTGGAATTATTATACATTGTATCAACAAGATAATTATTTTTTTGATATGATTTTTTTATATTATCTTTCATAGTATTGATATAATATACTTCTGATGATTTTCCTTTGTGTTTATTACGACTTGGCTGTTATTGAAAGAAAATATTTAGAAATATGAATGCAAAAATTTTCATAAATTCTTAGCATATACTTTTTTTAATTGTAATTTTTTTTAATACTTTAACTGTGTATTTAAAATTTGTAAATCATTGAACATAAATTATTTCTTGACTGTAATTTATTATATGACAATTATTACATTTCATGTGCAATTTATATTCTAATTAAATTGAAAAATAAATCCTTCAATTAATATTAAGAAATTGTTGGGTTTTATTAAAATTACTAATCCTGAGTATTAATAAGAAACCATTTATTTAATTTTAATTGATAATGTATTTTCATTTTTTTTTACTGCATTAATATTAATATATTTTGTAATTTATTAATAAATGCATAACAGTCAGGGAAATTTTATGCAAGTCCAACATTTATTTGATGAGAATTCATCAATTAATGGTATTGGACATCCACAAAACACGGGCACATGGTATTTACAGCACGGAGGTCCAAATGGATTACACTAAAAATTTTAATAACATTTTTATAGTTAAAAATTAGCACTAATATTTGTGTATAAATTAAAAATAAGTTTACAGTTTAAATACCTTATCTCCAACCCAAGTACAATTTAGTTCTTCCATTAAAGTTGTAATGATCAACAATAATTCAATGAAAACAATTACGATTACAATTCTCAACATTTTAATTTAATTCTCAAATAAATATTAATTCTTTTTTCTTCAAAGTGAAACGTCAAATTAAAATACTTCCCTTATATTGGTTTTAAAATTACTCGACATGACTAACAAATTTTTTTAGTATTTAATTAAAAAAATTTCTATTCTCTTCAAGAATTGATTTCTAAAATTAATTACAGGATCAATAAAAAAATAGTTTTGTTATGACGTTAAAAAAATTAAAAAAAGACAATATATATTGGTCATTAACATTTTGATTTTTTTATATACAAAATATTTTTATATCAAATAATTAAACAACCGATAATTATAACATTAAAATTTATTGAAAGATTATTTTTTATAAAAACAAAATCATTAATTCTTATTTTTAAGTAATAAAATTTTTTAAAGGAAATTTTTTTAGATTTTTCATACGTCAATTTCTTTAATTTTCAAAACAAAAAAATTTTTTTCAATTCTAAAAATTTTCCAGGGAACTTATTTTGCTGTCTATTATTTTTTCAACAGCACTTGTAAGTATTCCGCGCGCAATTAATCGTTCATGCGCATTGTAACAAAATCACAATATTTATATAAGAATTTATTCACGACGACACGAAATCAATGCAAATGATTCAGCTTCATTTGAACGCTAATCATATGCAATTGAATACTTAAATTTGTAGTTCGATGTCATTGCTATAGTACAAATATATAAGCAGAACTTTTAATAAAATTTATATCTTAACACTTGATTAATTGTTGCAAACAAAATAACTTTATAGTTTTTTGTGATTCTGAAAATATATTAAAGAAGATATTTAAATTCAACATAAAAAAATAATTTTAACAATGAAAAAAATTATAATATTTGGTTCTACCGGGATGACTGGCCTCTGCGCGTTAGATTATGCAGTTAAACAAGGTACAGTAAAAAATACTTATTAACTTTGATTATTTATTACTTTAAAATTATGAAAAAAATTTTTAAAATATGTTTTTTATAAGGTTATCAAATAACAGCTTTTGTAAGGGATGAAAAAAAAATTCCTGACCACGTAAATGGTAAAATTAAAGTTGTAATTGGAAATGTTACTAATTACGATCAAATAGAAAAAGCAATGGTTGACCAAGAAGGAGTTGTCGTAGTTTTGGGAACAAGAAATGATTTAAGTAAATTTTTGTTAAATTAAATTAAAAAATTGTGTTTTATATTTTATTTACTTATTTAGCTTTAATAAAATAAATTTTTATCCAGAATCTACAACTGAATTATCAGATGGAATGAAAAATATTATTAGAGCAATGAAGAAAAATAATGTTGAGCGAGTATCAGTCTGCTTATCTGCATTCCTGTTCAGACCACCGGATAATGTTCCGGCAGCATTTGTAGATTTAAATGCTGATCACCAGAGAATGCTTGATGCGATCAAAGAAAGCGAGCTGAAATGGATTGCTGTCTTACCGCCGCATATTGCAGGTAACCGATTATTAAAATTATGAAAAGTTTAGGAAGTATATTAATATTTAATTTATTTTATTTCTTTAGGCTTACCAAATTTGAATTATACTGTTAAACATGACGAATCTCCTGGTCTTGTTATTTCTAAACATGGATTAGGTGAATTTTTAGTCGACAGTCTAGAGCAATCAGAACACTACCAAAAAATTTGTGGAATAGCTATCGATTTAACGCAATTCTGCTCAGTCTCATAATTTTTATTGGAGTTTTACAAGGATGCCAAGTTTGTTGGAAAATAAAATAATCAATTAGTCTGGGAATTATATTTATTGATTAATTTAAAATTAAAAATAAGTAATTGATTAAATAATAGAAAGTAGGTTACAATACATTTGTTTAATGATAAATTATTTGTGAAGTTTAATTCATATTATTACAAATGATTATTGGCTTAAGAATATTAACTCAATATAAATATTTGCATATTGTTGAAAATTTGTTATAATAAAGGTAATATCGCGTTACTAATCAATTTTTTGTTAGATCTCGAAATTTTAAGGTCCTTAGAAGCTACTTTGACAATTTTTTCATATACGCTCTTTTGACCTTAAGAATTTTTTTTTCTAAAACATCTATACTTATGTACACTTATCTATACTTATGTACATGCGTAATAATAATAATAATAATAATAATAATAATAATAATAATAATAATTGTTAACAATCGAATTAAAATAAATAAATTGTTTTTTTTTCTCTCCTCTGGCTTCTGGTCGTAAATGAGTCGTAAATTTTGTTAAATTAAATTGATTAATATAAGAAATTAAGATAATTGGTACCTAAGAATTAAAGCTTGGTTTATATTGAGTCATTTAGTATATTATTTAATATTGTTAATACTCTGTCTGTATCTTCAACCATGTATCATTTAAGTAACCCTGTCATTGGCCTTATGGGCTGTTGTGTTTTAATAAAGGAAATAAATAAATAAATAAATAAAAGCCAAAAGGGCGTATGTTAAAAAAAAATTTTTTTTCGCGATTTTCAACCAGATTTTTATTTTTAAACATTCCCTAGTTGATTGGAATAAGAAAAAAATTTGTTCATACGTTCTTTTGGTTCTGCAAAGCCAAAAGGGTGTATATTTTGAGATACGCCCTTTTGGCATTAGTAACGCAATATTTTTAATTTAATTTAATGCTAAAACGTTTCTGTAATGATTAACAGTAATTCTACATAATACAAATATATTTGTTCAATACAGAGTTCAAGGATCATTTTGTTCTAGATCACGGTTGACTATTTGAAAAAGTTTCTCTTTAATATCTTGCTGTGCTTTCTTAGGTAACTTTTTCGCAGTTACACATAAAGAATTGAAAAATTGCGTCAAATCATCTTGATCATTATTTGGTTCGTATGAACAAGTTGCTGTTGCATCATTGGTATCGTTATTCGACATAGTAGAGTTTGATGATGAGGCTGTGTGACTGTCCACCTGATCATTTTGAACTTTATTATCTTCAGAATCGTCTTCGTTATTACATTTTTCAGTTTTAGGCATATTTAGTACTTGATCATCAGTTGTGTTGGGTTCTTCGATATTGAGACAATTTTGTGATGAAAGAAAGCTTAATTCGTTGACGAATTTGCACTTTTTTTTATCAGGACTATTTATGTGTTCTACGTACGATGTACGTAGCCTACTCCAAAGTGCTTTAGCTTTGTCAACTATAACATTAATAATAAATTCGTATAATCTTAAATGCAATTTATTACTATTTGAAATAAATATTTATAAGTAATCGGTACACTGATAAAAAAGTTAAATTGATTTAAGAGAAAAAATCTTGAACCAAGAATATCATTTTGAAGAAAATGATTTTACTGAGTCGAAAGAAAAAATTCTTAGCTTGAGAATTTATCCTCTTGACTCAAAAAAAATTTTTAAATTATTGTAAATATAGTGTAATTGAAACTGACCTCTTGATATGATATTTCAGTATTATTAAAAAATAGGCTCCGCTAAATTTAGACTCGTGTAAAAATTATTTATTTTAATTTCTGAAATTAGCAAACATCTAACAATTTTTGAAATTTTAATAATAAATCTATTATTGTAAAAAAATGTTTTAAAAAATTCGAACAGGTAATTATTTTTCAAAATTTTTACAAATAAAATTTTTTTTCATTATAATTTAATTGTTGTAAAAATCTAAAAAATTTTTAGATATCTGTTAAATTCAGCATCGCAAAATTTTTCATGGCTAATCATACTTTTTTGACTAAAAATTCAGTAATTTTTTCCTTTAATGAATTTTATATTTTAAAATCAAATTTTTTGTAGTGACAAAAAAAAAAGAACATTGATAAATAATTTAATAAAGAATTATTGAAAGAAAGCGATCAATTCGTGGAAACAGATTTTTCACTAACCTGTCTTAATAAAATTGCACTCTTTTACAACTTCTGCCCACGCTCTAGGCGTTTCACCTCGATCATGATAAAAATCGTCATTGGCGTTATACAAAAGAGGCCGTCGTTTAACGCTTTCAATAAATTCTATCCTTTGGTCTCTCGTATAAGACATGTTGTGTTAGAGTTTAATTCCAGTAAAGCAATTAGTTAATAATAATCAAAGATAGTATTGTTCAACTGGATACTTATATGAATTAATAACTTAGTTATAACTTATATAACATAACTATTGTATATGTGGTATATCCTGATCTGTATAACTACTGACTAAAATTTTCTGAATTGAGCAAATATCACAGACTGTGAAGCTATGAAGTGGTTGCGATATGATATCTAATACTTCTCGCTGTACGTATAATCCAGCATGATCTAATATTGTGCAATTTATGATTCAGCAAAGATATATAAATTTTTAGATTAAAATACAGATAAAAATTTTTTTCAAGCAGTAATTTAGTCCAAACAAAAATTAAAAAGAAAATTTACAATTAATAAAAATTTAATCCAGAAAATACAGATAATGGAATAGCATACAAACTTCAAGGCTTTCATTTTTAAATAATATTGTTAAAATCTATAGACAGAAAAAAAATTAACTTAAATCAAGAGAAAAATTCTCGAACTAAGAAAATAATATTGAAGAGTTTCATTGTATTGGATCAAGACTAAAAATTCTTGAATCAAATAAAATTTACTTAAACCAAGAAAAATTTCTCAGTCTAAAAATTTTTCTGCTCAAATTAAGAAGATGAAATTCTTCAAAATTATTTACTTGATTCAAGTTAATTTTTTTTTCTGTGTAGTAAGTATTCATATGTATTAATAAATAATAAAATCAAGAAATAGTACATTAACTATTGTTGAGATAATTTTTTGTTTTTTTAATAGGAATAATTGATTAAATATAATCAATAAATGATAGAAATTTCTTAAGAATAATTAAGGCAACTGGATAATACAAAATTTTGTCATAAAAGACTTTATGAGAATATTAAGAATGTTATTAAAACATTAATTGTAAAGGAAAATAACTTCGCTGAACGATTGATAACTTTATTGACTGATATTTTTACTATTTCATCTTTTTCTTTCTCCTCGCAATCGTTGTCAAAATAATATTAATCTGTTAAAAAAAATGAACTACAATAGTTTCAAAGTTCAGGTCGTATATAAGTGGGTGTACAATTATACTGGATTTTTGTGTTTTTATTTAAATAAATTTAAAAAAAATTTATAAGCATAGATGAGAGATTTTTAGTAAATTATTTAATTGCAAAACTCGTAGATATACTTTCAAAATTTTAGCAGAATTTTACTACTAAATAAATGGAGAAATATTTACCAGAAGGAAAATATTTTTTATATCTTTTAATAATAATCAGCATATATTTTATTTAAAAATTATTTTTGAATTAACTGAAAACATTTTTCTATTAAAATTTTTTATAAAAAATTCATAAAATTGATGAATTATTAGTTTGGTTTATTTATTTTAAAAAATCATAATTTTAAAATAATGAAGTAGAAAAATACGAATTTTTAAGAATACTTTCATGTCATTTTGCTAATTAGCAAAACTGAATAAAAAAAAACAATTCAGTATAGAACAAAATAAATATTCTGGCTTAATAGTTCTGGGTATTTCTATCAGATAAATGTATTACTGGACTGTCGCCAGCAAATAACCCACTAATACGTGAAAATAATGTTTGATTTCCATTTTTTTGTGCTTTGGCAACATAATCATCTGGTTCGTATGAATTTCCGATAATAACAAATTTAGTGACGCCAAGCATAAGAGAAAGCAAAGTTTCGAGCTCACCGTTACCATAAAATCTTTCTTCAATAATACAAACGTCGATGTTATCAGGTTTTCCAATACCAAAAGCCATCTCCATTTGTTTATTAAAAAAAGACGATGAAACAGAAGTGATTACATTTGCTTCACATAAAACCTTTTTTTTAATGTTAAATAAATTGTTGTTTGTGCCTTCGTCTAAAGTCGAAACGCGTGAAATTAAATTTTTAGGTTTTGAATGAGAACCACGAGGAGTATCATCAGACATTTGTTGATTTGAGTACAACTGTTCTTTTATACAGTTGTATTTCTTAATTTCAACTAGGATTGATATTTTTTCTTTTTCAGCATCAGAAAAAAGTAAATCTTGATAGCTACTTTGATTTTGTAATAGTTTATTTAAACGAACGTCTGTCTCCAAATGGTTCACTCTCGTAGTTCCCAATCTAACTATTTCCATACGATGTTTATGTTTTAATTCCTTATTTAAATCTAATAGTTTATTTGTAACTTCGTCGGTTAATTTATTCGTTGGAGAACACACAAGTATACGTTGAGATTTCTTCTTATTAGTTCCATAAAGTACCTCGGTGACGATATTTCCAATAATGTTTAATTTTATTTGAGAAGATACTCTTAGGAAAAAAATTTTCGGATCCGAACCACAGAGTCCAGCAGCGATGCGTAGGATAATTCGTTTTATGCTATCATTCTCTCTAAGTCCAGTAATTAATTGGTGAGACTTATCAGATATTTTGGGTAAAATGAAGACCTTATCATCAAACTTTGGCTTGATTACACTATTCTTCAGTGGGCTAGTTTGTAAAAATTGAATACTTCTTAACATACGTACTAAATTACCCAGGTAACACACATTTTGCAGCAGTATTGAGTGCAAGTTGAGTCGTTCATTTTGATGTAGAGCTGGTTGGAATGGTTGTTTAGTAACAATTGTATAAGTAATCAAAGCATGCTGTTTGGTATTAGTATTTGTAGAGTACTCCCTGTGATGCGGTGGTGGAGTTAATAAAGTTTTTAAGCACTTCTTTGTGTACGCAAAAATTGTGTTATACACGGGATATTTATTTCCGTCGTGATTATTCGGAAGCATCGCATGTTTGAGAATTACGAAACTATATTCGCAAGGATATTCCTTTTTTTCAAATTCCTCTTCAGTAAGAAACATTTCAATTTCATATTCGGTCAATGGTGCATTATATGGCTTAATACGGTACGATTTATTTGATTTTGGTTTTAAATTGACATCAAAATAATCAACATTTTTATTTTCATGATTAACATTTTTTGAAATTTCGGACTTTGCCTTTTGTAAAATTAACTTTGTCATTATACTGTCATACTGATCATAATTGTCATAGGAATATTGTTGAGAGATTTCTTCTGTTGCGAATTCATTCGAATGATGTTTATTAGATTCTTTCATTTTAGCGAGAGAATATTTGAAAAGTTCATAGAAAAATATCTTTTCTCGTTCGTCCATTTTGTTTTGGATTTCCTGGGTACTTATTTCTTCTTTATATTTATCACCTTTAATTTTGACGCTATCGCTATTGGCCTCTGTATAAAAAAATTTTTTTTCAAAAACTCGGTTATTACATAAACCGACTGAAGTAGAAGGAATATTACTTTCTGTATCATATTTATCTATATTAATCTTATCATAAGTTTTAACATTCCTTGATGGATCATTTTTTTCCCTGGCATTAGTTTTAGAGTCCTTATTTTGATTGTTGTTTTTATTTTCCGTATTGTTTAGTTCATTATCATCTTCTTTGCGTTTTTTATTTTTCTTCATTTCATTTATGTTATCCAGCTTTGGTGTTGAACTGTGAAAAGCTACATTATCTTTAAGATATGATGACGGTCGTCTCGACGAGTTGTTTGATACATGATTGTCATCATCAGATATTTCGTCTGCTGTAATTAATTGATTATACTTATTTAAAATATATATATGAATTTAATATAATTAAAAATTTCACTAAAATACTAACTGACTAAATACTTACCACTAGTATCGGTATCGATCTTCCTTTTCGATGATTTTTTTATTCCATTATTTTCTTTCGAGTCCCTTGACAATACCTTATAAAAAAAATCAATGCTATTAATTCAAATGGACTTACGAAGTCAAAGGTATTTTTTTTTTAAATATTTTATAGAGAAGCTCACCATTTTTAAAAGTCTGTATACAAGAAACTTTTGAGGGTCAATATTTTTAGTCTTGTCAGTCGCAAATCCTATGATGTCATCCGTAACAAGGCTTTTGAATGTAACTGGTGGAATTTTTTCTCCATTGACATACGTTCCTCCATTACTCTGTAGGAGATTCATTAAATTAATATAATTAATGAGGCCGTTAGAATAATAGTTAATGAACAATAGTAAAATATTAATAAATACTGTATTAAAATCAGGACAAACAGATTAATTTATTATTTTATGTTGACTCTTTATTTCACTTTAGTCTGATGTTTCGTTCGTTATCATCAACTTCCTCATAGATGTGCCTGATTTTAATACATTATAACGTGATATTTATATGGACCTGAAGAACGTACCGATTATAGATTAATACATCAAACAAAATCATTTTCAATTGAGAAAAATGCTTCATGGTCCAGCAAAAACAGAATTTTTATAGAAAATGAGTAGAATAGTTATAGTTCTATGAAATTCACACAGAAAAAAAGGTTCATTTGTACAAAAAAAAAAAATTAATGAGTAAGATAAAAATAGTCTTAGCTCAAGTGAAAATTTTCTTGAAGAAAGAAAATTTTCTTCACTTAAGAGAATTTGATTTCGCTCAAAATAATTATCGTCAAGAAAGTTTTCTTCATTAAAGAGTTGATTTTTTATGTGTAATAGTACTAAAAAACATAAAAACGCGGATTTATGATTTTAAAAGCCATTTTTTATTGCGATAATTCAATTTTTATTAATAATTTTCAAAAAATAATACCTTGAGATCAAGAATTTTTACACCGCTTTCTGTTATGAAGAATATACAATGCTTACTAGACACCATAGAGTTTGGTATTACTACGTCATTGAATGGATTTTGTCCACACATGTACTGGAAAATAATAAAAAATTGTTGAGTTAACATAACAATTTAATCTATTAATTATTCTTCTGAAAAAGGCGATTTTATGATATTGAAGAAATGAATTTATTGAAAATTTTCAGCAAATTTATGTCTTAACTAAAGAAATCAAAATTTTTTTCACACTAACTTTTTTGTTAAAAAAAAGTTACTTTGATTTGGAAAAAATACAATTTTCGATAAACAACTTGCAAATTTTTACTCAAATTTTTTTTTTTTTTTTTTTTTTTTTCGAATTTAGGAAACTTTTTTAAAAAGAACGTTCTTGTGAGAAAAATGTTAATTTCTTCAATTAAAAAAAAAATTATTTAAAAGTTCCAACTACAACATTGCTTATTTTTGTTAAGACATTTTTTTTTCTCAGTGTATCACAAGAATTTTTAAATTTCTTAAAGTATTTTATTAATAACAATTGTACAGTATAAAGATCGAAAATTTGTTTTTTCGAAAATTGTTTCTTATTAAAACAAAATATTATTACTTACATTTTTATTATGCGATAGACATATCGGATGAGTTTGTTGGGAAGATGTCAATGGTTCAAGTAGAAAATAGCTATTCATAGTTGAAATGATCTAATAAAAAAAGAACCTCAAGTTTGAAAGTTATTAGATTAAAAAATTATCAAAATTGTTTGTTAAAAAGAGGTTTGATTAACTTAAGAATTAGTCAAGACAACGGAATAACGAAGTACGCGTGCTCACTGAATCAGTACCACTCACAGAATGGTGACATTACCCCTCAACATGTCATATTATACACGACTGTCCGGTATTCTACACAGTATTACACAAGCTACATCCCTTGTACATTTTTGTCAAAATAAGCTTCAATTGATTTGATTCTCCGGACCGAAATTCACTCCAAAAAGAATGTTGCTTGTAGAATGAATAGAAAAAAATCTCATCGGGGTAAATTCTATATTTTTTTGATAAATTAAAATAAAAAAATACTTGCTATTGGTTTAAAAATGATAAATTGCGTATATTTAAAGATTTAAAAATTATAATTGATATAACCCTTTCATCAGTTTCACTTTTTTCTCATCCATAATTCGGAAATTATCTCGATTTTTATATATTCACATTTACACTGTTACGTCCAGGTGTTAATAACATAACTTTAACAACAGTTCCTTAAATTTGAGACTAATCACTTAAGATTATATGTCTTGGGAGGCGGGACTGCGCCTATAGATAATCGTCTGTCAAGACCGCACGACTTTATGCAATTTGTCAGCGAATAAATTTATTTAAAAAAAAAATTTAATGGGGACTGAGTTTATTGTTACCGGGGTGAAATCGTACACGAGTGAGCAACGGAAGATACTACGTAAACGAGTGAAGAAATTAAATAAAATAGATACGAATGAATTATGCCTGTCAAACGTTGATTACAATGATGATGAAAAATCTCCTGGGTTGATCTATCTGGATGGATCCCTTCTGATAAGATTAGTTAATGTTAAAAAATATTAAAAACTTAGTTATTGATTTTACTTTTTAGGTTGATAATAAGAGAAATGATTTTACCAATATTACCTTTTTAATTTATTCGGTATTTATTGAATAATATCATTGTATTGAATTACACCAATAAAGCAATTGACTGGTTGATTTTTGACTGATTGAAATAGGATGAGTTGACTTAAATCCAATTTTTACTAAGAGTTGTGTAACTTGTGGTACTTTTTTGTTGGTGACAAATAAAGAGAAGGACGAAAGTAATAGATAAATTATAGAATGTGTTAACGTTACTGGATTTGCCGAACTAAAAACTGATCTTCTGCCTGCGGAGTCTTTTATAATTTTTCAGTCCTTCTTCCCTTACAATCCTCTTTTCAATAATTGAAATGATTTATTATTTTATTTTTCTGCTGTTTATTTACTAATTGAGATTGTCACACCAGATTACTACGCCTCGCAGCTATATTAGATACCCATAAATTATCCAAATATCAGAGTTATACGGGACCTTACTGACCCTGTCACGAGATAATAACGGGTGAAGGAATAGTTATTCGATTTTCCTAGAAAAATAAGGCTGAGTCATTGAATATTTTTAATTACCAGCCTGATGAATATTGTGTTTATTACGTCTCAGATTTATACGTCTAGGATTAAGTTGTAAATATTTGTACATTTTAAGATCCGGAGCCTTTTCTCTCCGGCTTATGGGTTTTTCCCATGAGTTTTTTCCTAACAACTTTTCTAAAACCTTTCCTGTATTTTTTTAATAATCCTCCCGAATTAATATGCAAAAATTAAATAAAATTTTAAACAACGTTAATGAACAAAACCCGTAATTTAAATATTCCTGATCGTCTGAATAAACCGTTTTGAGTTTTAAAAATTATACTGGATAATACAATTTTGTTAAACAAAGAAATTAAAAATAAAAACCGTATTGAATTTAAAAATTATATTGAATGATATGATTCTATTAAACAAAGCAATTAAAAATGAAAACCGTATTAAATTTAAAAAAAAAATAAATGTGGGTAGTTTTCTCGGATTAATAATTTCGACCGCGCTCATGTCCAAGTTACCCCTTTTGGTTTGAGAATTGTTACTACAAAATGGCTGCGAACAAAACCCCTTAATTACGAAGTTAAATTGAACTAGTATAATATTATTGAAACACGAATTTAAAATATAGGCGAGCAGTATTGTAAGAATAATTCTTACCGGGTTAAAATAATAAAACTGGAGATTTTAAATATAATTTCAAACAGCAATACGGGGTTCTGAATTTTTAATAAACACTCTATTGTCAGTGACTGGGGTTTTTATACGGTTTAAAGAGGTCATACGGTCATGACTATTCACATAAATCGTTATTTAATGGGCTGTAAGTTTAGTTAGAAAAATGTAATTATTCTAGGGTTCTATTAGTTATTAAATTAATTGGTTTCAGGAGTCTTAATTAGAATAGTTTTAGGTATGTTTTGGTAAAATTTTAGACCTTAAGGTGAATTCGATTATCCAGGATTAATTAATAAAGGCAATTTGGGTCGACTGCACTTATGTTTCACAGGGTAATTATGTAATTTTTAGGTAAGTTTGGCGGCGATTTTACTCCTTTTTCTGTAGGGTACTAACCATTGTAACCCAAAGAATTTTTCGAGAAAAATTTCATGTTTGCTCAAAATTTTATCTTTGATTTATGGCTCCTGTCAGGAGCTCTCAGTCCCCTCTTAGTAGTCTTTTTCCAAGAAACAGTTACTAACGGAGCGGGGGTCCCCTTATAGTTTTAAGTTCTCATCTATGTAGTGGTTTTATTTCCAGAAAAAAGTGCATAACGGCGCGGAGGGGTGTCCTTGAAGCTTCTAGTTCCCTCCCATTGATTAATTAATACTAATATTACATGTATCTCTGAATTAGTATGTAATATTTATGTTCTTTATATTGAGTGGCTAATGATACTCCTATTGCATTTGTTGGTTATCTACCAGCGCGGGGTTAGTTATTGGAGGGGAATTATCTTATTCAATTTTGATTTTTCCTTGTTTAGCAGAGAGTAGCATGCTCCAGTATTAATATAATTATTTATTTTGGTGAGGTTGTATTGAAACCTATTCAGGTATGACCAGGTTATAGTTGTGGCGGTCATGTGACCACTGACATTAAAATTATTTAAACATTAGTAAAAATTCGTTAAAAATTTAGTAAAATTAAAATTATTCTGTTAGACATTTAGGCTACAGTTAAAATTTGACATTGTAAAATGTAGTAAATTCAATAGAATAATTTAGTTTTAAACTTTCAGTTGTAGTAATAGGATTAAGTTGTAAATATTTGTACATTTTAAGATCCGGAGCCTTTTCTCTCCGGCTTATGGGTTTTTCCCATGAGTTTTTTCCTAACAACTTTTCTAAAACCTTTCCTGTTTATTACTCTTTTTTCTATGTGCAATAAACCCAAGCGATAGAGGACCCGAGGTCAGCATGGCCAGCTGTACTCTCGGGCCCGCTGACGTCACGAAGACTTATTGCCCCTTCGCACTTTTTTCACACTTTTCTATTTCCCGAAGATTTCCTTCGTGCCCCTTCGCAAATCTTCGGGGCCTTCTACCCCACTACTACCCTTTGAACTTCAACTCTGATACCTAAAGTGTAGTAGTGGACACCATTATTCCGACCTAACTCCCCGTCCTGAGTGCACCCTGCTCCGGGTGATATATTTCTGTCGTGAATCGTTATAATATATCTGGTAAAATTAACCTCACGTTTTTTTATTTAACAGAACCTATCACCGTACCCCTTAAAATCCTAAATAGTTATTTTAAACTATTCTTTTTAACTGTCTCAATCCAGGATGAGAATTAATTAAAGGATACTTTAGCTCGAAGTAGCATTTTACGAATAATTACTTTAATAGTAATATTATTGACATGAAGGTGTGGGACACTTTATTTAAGAAAAGTGGGAGAACGGTTTTAGACTAATCGAGAGAGGGTGGGGAAGAGCATAAGATATCAAGAGTGGAGGGAGAGTCAACGAGTGAGAAGATGTGTTAGTATAGTCTAGGCTGATTTCGACACTTCTCTTGGTTGGAACATACATTTAAATATGTATATACAAAAAAAAAAAAAATAAATTTATGCACCAGCTACACGGGGTCGTAATAACACGCTGATGAATTTATGATATTAATGTAATAAGGGCGTAAAAAAATTTGATTTTGGGAATCAACTTAATTATTATGATATTGCAAAAAAAAATTTTTTTTTTAAATTTGACTGTTTTTTGAAATTAGATTTTTTTTTACATTGACAAAAAAATTTTTCGAAATTTACCGAAATCATAAAAAAAAACTAAGTTTGCCTAGATAAAAATTTATTTTAATTTTAAAACTCCGTACTTGGATGTTATTTGGGTTAAAATTTATAAAACTTATGACTCCATAAATTATTTCACAAAGAAGCTTGTAAGAAAGACAGAATTCTACGAATCAAGAGAGCCAGATGTTACGTCCGGATGTTAATGGGGTAACAATTGTAGCAGTTCCTTAAATTTGAGACTAATCACTTAAGATTATATGTCTCGGGAGGCGGGAACCGCGCCTATGGGTATCCGTATGTCAGGGTTACATGAAACTACACGCGGTAAGAATTTAAAACTGGGTCACTGGTTGGGATAGGTCAGGCACGAGCGAGCGACAGCAGATGTGGCAAGAACACTTAAAAGATATATATAAAAAGAAGTATACCTGGTAGCTGTAGTAGATGCAACGTGAAGAAAAACAAACACCCTGGTTGTTATGAATTTCCTTAATGGTATAATTATGTTCTTAATCGATATATAATGATGAATAGGGGTTATTGCAAAAAATTTTCACACTGATTATTCTAAATGACAATTTATTTAAATTTTATGTAACTGGTTGAGTTTACACTAACAATTAATTGACTGGATGGTTATTAACTGGGAACTTTTAAACAACAATGGTTTAACTTTTGAACGAATGTCGAGAAATAGCTGTTATGTTATAAGGAAATAGCGATAGAAAAGATTGCAACGATAGCAATTAATTTTTGTGACTGAGAGCTGGTCTGCGGTTTGCGATGTGTTTTATAACTTTGGTTACCCCTTTTGTCCCCTCTGATGATTATGTGTTTTCGTCGTCGGGGTCCTACTATGTTAGCTTTTAGTTGAAAATGTGTGTGAGTGACCTTGTAGAAAGAGTAAGTTAAGACGTGGTACAAAAATCGGAGATTTTACTCCTTATATTTATGACGAAGATAGACATAGGCTATAAAAATCTTAATACAGATAGCGAGAGCGGCAAGAGGTTCGTTGTTCTCGTAAGACGCCCGAATGTCGGATTCCGACACGTGTCACTTCGTTTGGGATTTAATTGTATGATTAGATAACAAACGGTTTATTTAATTAATTATAATATAAAAAAATATACTATTTTTATTATATATATATTTTTTTTGTGAGCAGCAAGGGTAATAGGACTTTAATAATTTCTAACAACGAACTAACCCTCGTGACGTTAAAATTTCTACTGCTGCTCTCATTGTCCGAAATGGGGTTTATATACACAATTGGTCCTGAGATTTAATTATTATTCGCATAAAATTATTTTTTCTGCCCTCCGGCCGGAAAGTGGCAACTTTCTGGCCGCTGCGCTAAACAAAGTTGCCACATTCCGGCTACGTCGAGCAGAAAAATAGTATACACCAAATAGTAAAAGTAAAGCCTCAGATCACATGTTTGTCAACCTCGGCTTCGCCTCGGTCAACAATTACATGTGATCTGAGACTTTTCTTATTTTACTGGCCTAGGTATGTAATATACTATTAATTCAATATCTAAATGCAAATTTTAGCTTTCAAAGAAAAAGAACTGTTTCATCGGAATTTGCGCAAAGCATAGCTCTTGCGAGCGTCTCGGTCCCTAATGTTGGTGAACGTGAACAGGTCTTGGTGTAAAGAAACACCACATGAAGCTAAACTCTATCTGGAATGGTACACCTTGGTCTCCCTCAATACTCAATTTTCATACGGCAATCGCGGTATTTCGGAAAGTTTGTCTATAAGGATACACTTCGCATGGCCTTTGGGTGGCCAAGTGGGCATGCATAGCCAAATCAGGTGAATCCACCCACCACGTATGGGTAGTCTCTTCCAATACTCAGCTTCTCAGCGCTTTAACCGACAATGCAGCGTTAGCTTATACTCTAAACTGCTATAAAAATAGACTTCTCGTGGTCTTTCAATGGTTAACTTGATACACGCGTACCGATGCCGCTGCTGATCTAATTTGGTATATGAAAGCCTCATTGTGCTTTCTGACGACTATGGTGAGATGGACCACCTCTTGATATGATCGACATAGATGGAGGTTTGTTTGGTGTGCCGTGGGTGAATAGCTCCGCGGAGTTAATTAACACCCGACTTCGATTTTGGTGCTCATCTCGTGAATGTACCGAGTCCAGTGTAGGTCATAAGAAAGCAATAAATTTTCTGAGAAGGTCAAATGGGGCATTACACGTGCAGCATTTTTACTAACACTGATGCTACCGATGTCGCATGACTACCACTACTATAACACTCTTCGTATTGAATAGTCAATGATGTCTATACTACTGGGGTTAGTTACTTTACCGGCGTAAGAGTAGTTACCGTAGAAAACTGATATCAAATTGATGTCAGATTGTTATAAAGAGAAAAAAAAAGAACATAAATCGGCCTGAGATACTGAGGGTGGGAATAAGTGAGTGCGAGAGAGTTATGCATTTTCAATGCATTTTCCTTGTGAGAAAATAATGATTATAAAAATAATAGGTAATAATAAAATCCACACGAGTTACACAAGGCCGTAACAATGGTATCAAATTGATGTCAGGTTGTTATATATAAAAAAAAAAAAGAACACGAATCGGCCCGAGGTACCGAGGGTGGGGATAAGTGAGTATGCGAGAAGCATTGCATTTGAAATACATCTCCCTTGTAAGAAAATAATAATAACAGGAAAATTCACACGTGTTACATAAGGCCGTAACATAGTCATCTCAGTGTTTCTCAAAAAGAGTTGCGCTTTCGTTCGATGTAGGCGGTACATCTTAGTTGCTATTGATTTTTTGGAGTATGCCTTTTATTGTGTGTCAGCGATACCTGTCATTATGGGCTTGCTCTATGACCACCCTGAAGGGTGTATTAAGTTTAATTCATATTATTTCAGATGATAATTGGTTTAAGAATATTAATTCAATATTATAATAAACATTTGCATATTGCTGAAAATTTGTTCAAATAAAGGTAATATCACGTTACTAATCAATTTGTTAGATCTCGAAATTTTAACGTCCTTAAAAGCTTCTTTGACCTTAAGAATTTTTTTTCTTAGAGCCAAAAGGGCGTATGTTAAAAAAATTTTTTTCGCGATTTTCAACCAGATTTTTACTTGTATACATTTCCTAGTTGATTGGAATAAGAAAAAAATTTGTCCATACATTCTTTTAGTTCTGCAAAGCCAAAGGGTGTATATTTTGAGATACGCCCTTTTAATATTAGTAACGCAATATTTTTTATTTAATGTAATGCTAAGACATTTCTGTAATAACTAACAATAACTCTACATGATACAAATATATTTGTTCAATACAGGGTTGTTACGTCCGGAGTGACGCAAACACAATATTATGTTTATGTGGTTCCGAATTTTAGAACTCGCTACTTAAAGCCTTCGTTTAGGGTGGCGGGAACCGCGTCAGATTATAGAAGATGGGATGGCCGGTGTCACGAACGGAGTGAGTGATGGGCGCAAGGAATATGAAATAGAAATCTCAAATATCCGAACGTTATCACTTTGTCCGTTCGGGAGCTAAATTAAAAATTGCGTTGGAGTGTGGAGCGGTACACAAGCTCGAACGTTATCTCTAAGCATCAACTTAGAGAGAGAGTAAGGATGATGGACTCTTGCTGACTTCGGTCACGAGTAACCTATTCTATTGTTTAACTCAAATCTTATTTGTAATAGAGATCTTATTTTATTTAATTGTATCTTTTGATTTGAAGGAAAGAAAAATATAATTCTGTTATTTGAATTTTATTGAGACAAACCAGTTAATAAGTTTACAAATTTGGGTTACAATATAAATGTTAAATAAAAATAGTCATAAAAAAAAATGAACATAAAGGTTAGATATAAAAGATAAAAATATAAAGTAAAATGTTTTGTACGCTTACCCTGGAAGTCTGCTCTTTCGAGAGAGGCCCTAAGTTTTATGGGACTTTCACCTTCTATGGGTATTGTTCACTATTGAGTCACCGTATCTCGGATGTTCCGGAGAAGTTAAGTAATTTTTATAATGAATTTTAATTATAATCAACGCTTTTTAGCGGAAAAGTTTATCAAAATAAAGCTTCGCGAATTTTCACAAAGAAATCCTTAAAATCTAGTCAACGCTCTTCGGCGGAAAATAATCTTCGCGATTTACGCGGACAAATCAACGCTCTCTTGGCGGAAAATAATAAAACAAAAGAAAATTGGAATATAAATTATGGCATATATCGAATAGCCGATGAATCTACCACGTTAGTGCTACTAAGTACAGCCTAACCACAAGCAAGGCACTGACTCGTATATTACGGAGTCTATTGTGCTTCCGAAGAATTATTTGCCCGGAGCCGATCGACGCGGAGCTAACCAGTGGTATCTTGGTCGAAATCGAACTGCCTAAAAATGATTTTCGGGCGGTTTATATAGGGTTAGCAACATCGGCGTCTGTATGGTACTCATAGGTAAATTAATTCAAAAATTGAGGGAGAGCTCAAGGGTATTTTGCATCATTGCGTTTCTAGATTTTTCGAAACCCGGATAAATTTATGCGTAGTTTGAACTATTGCCTTATAGGTCTTATTTTTACGACTTTAAGCGGAAAACGTGAAGGTGACTTCTGACTTCATCATATTACAAATTTAAAAGTTAGAAAAACAAAGTCGTTAAATTCTGATTATAATTATTTTGTATATAAAGAGATCCGGGTGATTCGTATGAACGTCATCTAATCATGGGAAAGTTAGGCCAGATTACTCTTCTACAGACTTCAAGGGTATGATAAATTGTAAATTAAAAATAAAAAGTTACATATATTTAGAAGAAAAACAAAAATTTTAGATTTTAGCAGACGTCACACCGGTAAGGAATGATTTGAACTACTTAACACTTAATAGTCACCCTTTTATCAATAACAATCAGACCAGATAGTTATATTTAAATATATAGAAAAGAAAAAAAATAATAACAAATTATACCTGGTTTCGAACAAAAGAAAAAGGTGCGATGAAGTGCTGACTAATTGCTGGCTCGGTGCAGGTAAAATAAGAGTACCGGATAGTACCGGAGATAAATGATTTTTAATTCCGTAAATTCGTTTTGTGAATTATTTTTATTCAAATAATCAATATTAATAACTGATATAATTAAGTAAAGGTTATTTAACTGACTGGAAGTATTTTAAACGCGATTATAATTAATATTCGGTTTAAACTGATTTTTATATCAATTCAAAATTATATAAATGTACGTACGGGAAAAACTGTTGGCTAGCAAGTTTTTAAAATAACACACAAATTTTAACGTATAAACTATAGTCACCTTTAATTGTTTATTTGATAACGTAAAGTTACACTTCAACTGGAAAACTTATTATTAACTATTACACTTTAACTAAATTGTTACTATTTATTTTGGACTTAATTGTATAACATTAATATTATGTTATAATATTAAGTAAGATCTTTGATTACAATTCTATAATTTATTCTTAAAGGTTTTCTGTAACTAAGAATGCATAACAATCCGTGGTGTATTTATTCTATGAGTTCCATTCTGTAACTGATTAAAAAGGTGTTAAAGAACATACATTGCAGTTTTGAGTATCATTACGCCACGGGAATAAACTGGTAATATAGTGTGTTCTGCCCAGACGCTGGCGTATGAACATCACCGTCAGCAATTTTGAAAGATAACATTAAAAGAATAAGAAAAAATCTACAGAGGCATAAACAGGTTATAAAATTTAAACGCTTTATTGAAAATTCAATTGAAAACAACTCAAAAATTAAAAAAATTCTCGAGTAAATGCGTCGTTATTCAAATTTTTAATAAAAATCACTTTGGCCAGCTTCATCGACAGTTTTTTTGTAAAATACAATTATTTTTAATTTGTTAATAAATATCAACAATAGTTGTAACATTGATATGAAACTAAAAAAAGCATGATGCTTTTGTTATTATTGAAAAGCGGTGACTTCTCTTTATAAAAATATCAAACGTCAAATGTTTTCGTAAATTTTAACGACTATTAAAAAATATATAATGTCAAAAAATGTGTAAATATTATCAAAATAAAATGTATTTTATGAGTTGTCCAAATTAACTTAATAAATAATAATTTTTCAGTCGATATTTCTCCAAAATCCCGGCGTCTTGAATTACAAGCAAAAAATGAAACTCCAAAACAGAGTGAAATTAAAAACTACATTGGCCCAATATTGACAACAACTTTATTCGATTTTAGTCCTCCTGATATACAGAAATTACTAGGCGTTACACCGCTACTCGAAGGCCCGCCAGAAAATTTATGGACATCTCCGAGTGATAAAATAATTTTACGACCTGTTACAAATCACAACATCATAAAAGCTCTTACTCATGATGGGATACTAAAATTAGGGGAACAAGTTAAGAGAAATTACGAAGCAGATGTAAATAAAAAAGTAAATGACAATTTAAGTCGCGAGATAAATGAAATCCGTTCAATGTTTGAAGCTGAAAAACGTCATGCTATTAATCTCAGTATTAATGAGACTAGAAATGTATATGAAAGTAAGATTGATTTATTAACTAAAGAGCATGAAAGTAAATTGCAGGTTATTTCTTTATTTATTTAATTGGAATTTTTTATTTTTTTTAATACAGTTTTTTTAACATATAATTGAAATAATCGAATTATGATTCACTATTTTATATTTTAGAGTGCGCTCGCTGAAGTTGTAGAAAAGTCCAATAAGAAATTACAAAAAGCTGTTGTGGCTGAACGTGTGAGCGTGACACATCAGATGCTCAAGAAATTAAGAGATGAAATTGGTTATATGGTCATTAAACTGTACGATGAGTTCGAGAGAAAATCTCGAGTTGACCGAGAAAATATGATTGCTGACTTTAATAAAACAATTAGGTCCAATAAAATTTTTAATGCGGTATCACTTTACTTTCAAGACGAGTCGTAAATTATTTTTATTTTTTATTTTTATAGAAATGAACGAAATAAAAATAATGATATTTTAAATGCTTTTGAGAAAGAGAAAAATCTTGAGATGAATATTCAAAGGCTTGAAATAGAAAATAAATATATTAATCTTCTGATAAATTCAGTCAGGGCGGAAAGATCTCACAGTGAAACTCGAATGAGTTTTCGTCAGCAAAATTTCCAGGTACTGTTATTGTTTATTGAATTAAAAATTATTAAAAAAAAATTAAATTTTCAGGAAAAAATGCAAGCACTTTATAAACTTCTGGTGAAAACATTGTACATAATAAAAGTATTAAATAAAAAATTGTCCCAACCGACAGCTCGAATTCACGAGCCGACTTGGCGAGATAAATTACAAGAAATAATAAATAAATTTAAAAAGATTATTAATTTTGTATTTCACGCGATTCCGGGGCACGCTGAATTTCTCCTTTCTCTGGAATCACTTTTGTCTTTGGAGCATCATGAAGATAGAATTGCTTGTGAAAATGGGGATAGTAATCGCTGTGTCTTGGGAATAATAAAAAATTTCTCTGGATCATTAAAAAATGACGTTTTTCGAGTTGTAGAAATTGTTGATAAAAATGGAAAAAAGTGGAGGCCTGTCACTTTGCCATATCAGGTAATCTTTCATTTTTAATTAGTAATAAATAATGAATAATAAAATAATTATATTTTTTTTATGTAGCCATCAGTCGTCGATGAAGATGAACCGCTTTTTATACCAGAAATCATTTTGTATCATAATATCGATGATGTTTTGTCTGATAATAATTTTTTTATGGAATCAAATGATGAAATCGATAACGATGTTCGGACTTTTGAAGAATTGACTGAAGAAGATAACTTTAAGATTCAAATTATGGATTCTGATATTAATGTAACACAAATTTTAAATATTTCTATTTATTCATTATTTCAAAATTAATTCTAAAAAAATCGAAAATATCTTGACATAAAAATTTAATTTTTTTAGAAATTAGTAACAAATATTATAGATTATTTCAAAATTTTTGGTTTTAAATAATTTACAAAATTTGTGTAAATTTTAAAAGTTATCTTGTATTAATTTTTTAAAAATAATTCTATATTAAATTAATTGTAATTTACTTTTTAGCTGCAAAATTCCGGAGAATCAAAAATAAGATACAAAAATTAATGCTAAAAAATCGAAAATATGTAGACATCAAAATTTAATTTTTTTAGAAATTAGTAACAAATATTTTAGATTATTTCAAAATTTTTGGTTTTTAATAATTTACAAAATTTGTGTAAATTTTAAAAATTATCTTGTATTAATTTTTTAAATATAATTCTATATTAAATTAATTATAATTTACTTTTTAGCTGCAAAATTCCAGAGAATCAATTGCATCTGATAAAAGAAAATCTTCTGTAACAGCACCTGACGACTTAATTCAACATAAAATTCGGACATCTTTAAGAAAATCGATTGAAATTATAACAAAATTAAAAGAAGAATTCCCTTCAAGTGAACCACAGTTCTCCAAACACGAGGACGAAACTGACCGTATTTTACTAGACTTAATGAAATATTCCAACGATCTAAAAAACGTCTAACCTAAGTCTAAAAAAACATCAAAAATTAACATACAAATTTTTCATGTCACATAACTTTATTTGACAAAAAAAAAATAAGTTTATAATGATATTGACAATAAATAAAACATTTCACGTGAATTGTTTATGAGTAATATGAAGTAGATATGACAGTAACTAAAAAAAAATTAATTAATTAATAACTAAACTCAAGTATAATTCAAACATAAAAAAATAAAAAAAATGAAAAGTTTTTAGTCAATAAAAATAATAACAAAGTAAATTGTTAGTTATATCGACTTAAAGAACATCACTTATCAATGCTAATTGATAATTATTTACAATTTATCATTTATCAAAGAGCTTGTTTTCATATTAGTTATAATAATAATAAAAGTATATCTATCGAGTTCAACTCATCATTAAATACCATGGCGGTAAAAATAAATGTACGTCTTAACAAGTTTAAAAATTAAATCATCTGCAATCCGTGTGATTAATTAATTTAAAAATAAATTTATTTCTCATAGTCCTCTTCGTCGGGTCTTACTTGAGGGAACCTTCTGAGAATTTGTTGCTGTGGCTGAGGTCTTCGCTGTTGCAGAGGGATGTTCACTTCCTCGGGACTGCGGAAGACTTGGTTAGAGGGAAGACGATATTGGGGAAGTCCTTGTGGTGTTGGAGAAGGACGCGCTATTGATGGAATACTGTTCAAGGTGGTCTGTGAAGGCTGGTTTGAGTACAACTGAGAATTGTGATGGGTTCTTCTTGGATTGGGAGTCTGGTGGTAATCTTCGCTTTCACGCTCGTCCGTGAAGATATCTCCTGGGAAGTAACGTTCACTGTATCTCAATGTAACATTTGGCTTTGATTCAGCTTCTTGTAAGTTCAATGGTTTGTACAGGTACTCATTGACGAAGTGGTACTGAGAACTCTTTTTGCAGCTTATGTCTCCGTTTGGTGGCATGCAGATCAGATGAACCTATTAATTTAGATAAATCGGTCAGTGAAACGCGCTGGTATTGATCAATATTTATTAGGTTGAAAGTAAAAAATAAATACCTGGTGGAAAGTAAAACCTTCTGGGCAGATCCACGAGTGTTTAGCGTTGTCTTGACAGTAATGGAACACTTCACAGTTCAGTTCTTCATCAGCATAATAACCTGTTTGCTTACCAACACAATCAAATTTACTTTGCGGTAAAAGTAAGCTCAGACGATCTGGCTCTTCTTTTTCTTCTTCAAGAGGCTCCTCTTCTAGCTGAGGATTTTGCACGGCATAAGATGCACCACGAATTGGACCTTGACGTCCTCCGGTTAGAACTCTTATTGAGCCTTCATTTGGTTTACGGTAAGCCTAAATAAAAATTATAATTAAAAATGATTTTTCTACTTTAAAAAAAAAAAAAATAGAACGAAAAAATATTAAAAAAAATTTCTATCTATTTTTTACATGCGCATATTTTAAAAATTGATTTTATTGCTCAAAAATTTTTATCTTCAAAATCATCCAAATTTTTCTAAATCAATAAAATTTCATAATTTAAAAATTTCTGAATAAAAAATTTGGTAAGAATATTTTGACACTTAAATGGAATATTTTCTAAAAAATTTTCGGGGATTTTTTAAAAAAAAATTATATCGGTTTACTCTTTAAATTCCATTATCAAGAAATAAGATGTTAAGAAAGTAATTTTTTGAGTAAAAATAATTCAAAAACAGCAAAAAGAATATTAAAAATAATTTTATCTATTTTTTACATGCGCATATTTTTAAAATTTTTTAAAAATTGATTTTTCTGCTTGAAAATTTTAAGCTTAAAAATCATCAAAATTTTTCTAAATCAATAAAATTTCATAAATTAAAAATTTCTGAATAAAAAATTTGGTAGGAATATTTTGAAACTTAAATGGAATATTTTATAAAAATTTTTCTGGGATTTATAATAAAAAATTCTATCGATTTACTGTTTAAATTTCATTACCAAGCAACAAGATGTTAAGAAAGTAATTTCTCGAGTGAACATAAAAATTTCTACAAACGTCTAATTGCTAATAAATCTTGAAAACATTGTAACAACAATGTTTCCGAGTCTATTAAACCACAGCTAATTTGTTGAGCATGAAAAGAGCATTGTGTAAGGCTAGTAATTTATTTTTTCTATTTATAGACCAAAATAATTTACCGGTTGCTGAGCTGGCCGATAGAGAGGAGTAGGCGACGGAGTAGGTGTAACGACATTATCCTCGTAACTGTCATCTCTGTAACCACCTGAGGCCTGTCCAAGGCCAGGACTGTTGTAAAGGGGCCCGTAAGTTGGTTTACCAGGAAATGAAACTGATCTTGTATCTAAATTGTAGTGATTTTGGGCCGCTGCTATCGCAACCCAGGTCAGCAGAAGCACTCGATGCATCCTTTGGCTCGAAAAATAAAAATAAAAATAAATATAGAAACTATTCTCTCCATATGCATTGCGCTTTCCAGTTAATAAAAATTGCATTTATTTTCCCTTATAAATCTATAAAAATCTAATGGGAGATATATAAACAAACTTTCGCTGACCCAAACACTCTCTTGTGAAAATCAATCTCCAGTTGATCAAAGTTGATGAATCATCTTCAAATGTACGTCTCAATATTCGCAAAACAATGAGTTTGTTATTTTTAAGTCTACATAGAAATCATCCATGAGATTAATTAAATCGTTAATTACTTTCTCGTTTGCTCAATCGATGCGGTATAAGGTTGACGTGAAATACAAGTGACATTACGTTGCATGGTACGGGTAAAAAAAAGTAATAAATTTTATTACTGACAAATAAACGATACTCTTCCTCATTCATACTGGGTCATATCGTTCACTAGGACAAACGTGATAGTTTTCTCCAAATGATCGTTAAACGCATGATACCACTCTCGTTTTACAGGTATACATGTGTACGTTTCTGTAATTTTTAGTTTGACGGCTATACTCACTGGCACTTACTTTAGCGAACGTCTTCTATTCGGTGAATGAGGTCGTTTATGTTTAATTTATTTAAGTGGAAAGTTTTGAATAACAAAATGAAATGTTTATTATATTCGCATGAAATTGAAACTTTTATTTTAGAAAATTTTTATGGTGAGTTTAAGACAATTCACAAACACTTATCGTAAGTGTTTGTTTATTTTAATTGCTTTCTTTGTGTTTAAATTGAAGGTCGTTGGCGTGTGGCATTATGATTTAAAAGTAATGCAGAATTTTTTAAGAACTTTTTTTAAAAGATCAATTTTAGTTTTCAAAAAATTAATTTATATGCCGATGAAAAAATTTACTTGATTTTACACTGAAAAAAAAAAAAAAAATACTTTTATTAAGATAATTTTCTTGAAACAAGAATTTATGTTCTTCAAAAATTTCAAGATTATATATTCTTAGCTTAAGAAATTGTTAAATGGATTGAAATAATTTTTTAAATAAAGGTATTCTTTTGTTTATCTATTATCGAAAGATAAGTATTGTTCTTCTCTTCAGAAATTAATAATTAATAATAATAGAATATTTGATCGTCAGCGAGTTTCTTGAGCTAAGAAATTGTTAATTGAGTAAAAGTATTTTTTTCTAGGTGTAGAGAGTAAATTTTGAACCAAGATTTCGTAGAATTTTATTTTGTTGAATAAAGTAGAAAAATTTTTGAACCAAGTGAAATTTATTTGAACCTAGAAAAATTTTTCTCTTTGATTTAAGTCAATGAAATTCTTCAAAATGGTTTTTTTGGACAAGATTTTTTTCATTGAATTAAATTAACTTTACTATCAGTTCTGGTGTTTCATCATTGGTCATTAACAATTGAGGAGCTGATTTTCAAAAGGGTATCTTTTCATATTTTAAAAGACCACTTTTTTGAACATTTAAATATTAATTACTTCGAGAATTATAAAGATTTATAAATGAAAATCGAATTGTAGCCTCATAACCGATAGCACATTATAGCTAAATTAAAAGAAGCTCAATACAAACATTTATAATTGAAGATAATTAGTTTTTTGTCTCGATTAATCAAAAATGAAAAGATACCCTTTTGAAACTTAGCTCCTCAATTGATCATTGATCAATATAAATAATATACATTAATTATCTTTGAAAATTTTTTTCACAAAATTTTAAAACAAATTTTATTAAATGATACTAAAAATATTATAAACTTAATATATTTTTATAATCGAACATACTATTTAAATCCTGTTCTAATTTTTATTACGGAAAAAATTTAGCTTATCACGCCCATTTTTAATCAACATAATTATAGTAATTAATTAAATGAACTAAATTCTACTAACTGCAGACAGCAATTTGTTGTAATTTAAAAGCAAAACACTTAACTTCGGACCATTTACTCGATTAGTTATATAATTATTTCTATCACCGTCGATTAATCATACCGAAGTATCCAATAATTTATCAAAATCACTTAGAAGTACTCTAAATAGAATGTAATAGTATAAAATTTTTAGGAAAACAATAATTCTAATACTCGGACTCAATATAATACCTTTGCGCAAATAAATTATCGAATAAAGTCTAAAGGTCAGAGTTTAAGTTTGACGAGACGTTTAATAACTTTTGAATTGCATAATATTACGATGGAGGATAATACAAAGTCCCGAGGTGAACGATCTTTTTGTGTCAGTGAATCAGCATTGGGAATCGTTTAATAGCGGTAAATGTTTATCAATAATATGAATATAAATATAAATATCAATAGTATCATCATCAAAGAAAGTTTATTGTATTAAATAATGTCTTATACCTTATACAGCTGATCTAATCGCGATTATTAATCGAAAATAACGGTTGACAATTATTTTTTTATTATAATGGACTTTACTGTTTAGGAATATTTGTATAATCAGTATTTGCAAAACTCAAGAATGGAGACCGTAATCATTAAATCGGAGATCAAGAGTAGACCGCGGGTCCTGTTTGGTCCGCTGCAAGTGAAAGTGAGAGGGCTGTAACTTTACTCACAACGGCTTAGATGAAAATTATAAACGAAGTAAATCTATATCAGACCATAAACCAATATAAATTATATACGGTTCGTGCAATCCAAGTCCGGCCTATTATTAGCAACTCATTGGCTTGATAAGTTGTTTATAAGATCTTAGTTCGAGGTTGTAGGTTTTATCCTTCTATCGCGTTCTAACGGGGTGAGAATGCGTGTGTTTAACGCCCTTGGAGTTTAAAACCACCGACCAAGGAATTTATGTCAGATTGCATTACTTTATTGTCTGTCTGTCTATACATTCTGAGACACGCCTTTCATTTAAACAATAAACATCAATTACTTATTACTTATTACTTATTACTTATTACTTTACCGTGTCATTGACTTCTTGATACACTTTCGATTTTTATTTTAAATTCATTAGTAGTGATTATTTATTGATAAAAATTCATTATTTGATCAAAAGCGTTGAAAGTCAAAATTAGTTTTTATTCATTTTTGGATCAAATTCTAAAATTAGAAATTATAATTTTAAGTTAGAAGAAATATTGTAATTAGAATTTCTATATATTGTGTTTGAGTAGAACAAAGAAAAAAATTTGTAAAAATTGTTTTTCAAAACTTAAGACTAAGTAGTATCAATTATCCTTTGTTGATAAAAATATTTTTTCTTGTTAATTTTATTGTAAAAATATGAATTTTTATTGTTTTATTATACACAATTTTAAGAAAAAATTTTGAAGACATTGAAATGGATATTATAATGTCATATTAGAAGAAATATTTTATTTTGAAGAGAATTTTAGGTGACACGACAAAATTTCCCCGACAAAATCTAATTTTAAATAATTTTAAATAATAATATTATTATTCCTGACAGTTGTGATGGTATTTTAAAAGGGCACAACGAGATTTTGAAGCGTATTTTGTCGGGGAGATTTCGTGGTGAAACCGAATTTTATTGTATAAATTTTTCTCGGTAAGAATCATTGAAAGAAATAAATTAAATTTTAATTTTAATTTGATCAAAAATTTTTCAACAAAATTATGCACAAAAGAAAAATTTTTGAATTAAAATTAATTTTGATTAAAAAAAAAAAATCATATTTTTGGATCAAAATTTTGTCTCTTAAAACAAGTTAATTTTTTATCAATGCATAAAGTTTTTAAATGTTATTTTTTTCTATAAATGATAATTTTTTGATTGATTAAATTTTCGGAAACAATAAGTAAAATAAATAGCTTTAAAGCAATTTAATATATCAAACGTTGTCTTACCCCGACAAATAAATATTTAATCATTAAAAATAAATGGTCAAGTATGTAGTAAGATGGTAAAATGCAATAAATTTATGTAAGAAAAAAAAATGTGTATCAGTAATCCCGAACAAGATATGCCGGTGCAGGTTACTGCAAGTACAAGTCACACGCCCGTAATTCTCAGTGTACATAAAGAAAGCGATTGTGTAACAAGGGTATAGAGATAGTTGTCCAGTTGGTCGGAAACTCTGAAATGAGATCACGCTACGATACGGGTTTGGCCAGGTTAATGTACAAGCAGTTGCTAATATAAGTAGATTAAAAGTGAGCAAAATCTAAGCACATATTAACTTCTGCATATATGTCTGGGAATTTTAAGGAAATTGACTTATTTACTTTTAAAACATGTCGATCGCGTAATACTGACAGCTCGTTAACGTTTGAGGGCAATAAATCTTATAACTAAACCATTTTAAGTTCAAATTTTCTCTATTTTATTTTCATTATCTTACTCGGCATTTTTTTTATAATATTACCAATAATGTCTACTATGTTTAAATAGGCACTTAACTTGTATTTACTTTACTTTTTGCTTCTTTTCATAATAATAACTCATAATCACAAGTAATAAAACTACTCAAGTGTAAAGACTAAATTGCCAAGTTTGAATTAATGTGCAATAATCAATAAAAAGTAAAATTACTTATAGCTTCGATACTTTCCAATTGTTGATCAGATAAATGTAATTATTATTTATTGTTACGAATAATAAATTTCCATTTCAATATTAAATTATCCGTATTGTAATTAATAAGGAAACAATTATTTTAATTTTGCAATTTTTTTTTTCAAGTCAAATATTTTTGAATTTTATATTTATAATCCAACCATTTGAAAAAAAAAAAACTTGATAAAAATGAATTTACATTTATTTTAATGAAAAAAACATTTTTTCATTAATAAAAACAGTACCAGAAATTAATTGACTTTCAATTTAATTAAAAAAAAAAAAATTGAAAAAAGTTATTTTGACTAATAAAAACTCACAAAAATTTATTATAAAAATTTTTTTGATGAATGAGAACTAAAAAATTATTGAATAATTTTTTTTTCACTTAAAAAAAATTTAATAATTAAGTTATTAAGATTTGTATAAAATGATTAAT